CTTTCGATCAGTGGAGGGCGAGGGGCCGATGCTGGTGTTTTGAAGACAGCGCTCAGTGTTAAAAGGGCTGCAGCAGGTCATCTGGAGCTGGCCGGGGACCTCGGGGTAGCCGGCCCTGTGGGCGGAGTCTGGGGGCTGCCTCTGGACCGACCGAGGAGCTTCTCTGTCCTGTTTTGTTTTAAGAACATAGAAAAGGGAAGGAGGGAGGGCAAACAAACACCCACCTGGGTCTTTGAAACACGAGAGAGTGGGAGCATTAAGACAGGCAGGTGGGGTCCCCCGCTCCCCTGCACCGCCTTTCTCCATCCTGCCCCGGGAAACGGCCTTGTCTGTGGTGTTGTATCCTTCTAATCTGTTTTCTTATTAACTGCACATACATGAGTCCACGAATAATATGTAGTCGTGCTGGGTATGTATTTTAGAAGCATACTTAAACGCTGACGTGGTGTAATATTCTGCAAGTTGTTCTTCTTGTTTAACATCATGCTTTCAAGGTTTAGCCTTGTCGATATTTATATCTGGTTCATTTCTTCTCAGTGCCGAGAAGTGTTTCATTGTACGACTATGTCACAGTTTATTTATCCGTTGCACTGCAAATGGATACTTGGTTGTTTCTGGTATTTTTATGTTTTAGGAACATCGCCATAAACATCTTCCTGCCCCCCTCCCGATACAGGCATGTGCCCAGGCAGCTCCAGGCCTTCTGGCCACGTTCAAGTAGGCCCAGCCCCACTGCTTCCAGCCCCTGGGGTTTCTTGGTGCTTTACCACACACACCAGCTCTTTAAGCAAAGCAGAGTTTTGGGGGAGTGGGGAGGGATAGAATCGGCAGCCGATGAAGCCAAGGCACGGTTTGTATTGTCAGCCCCACCCCACGCGGGCTGCCCTGGGTTCTTGCTTGGTTTCCCTTTGTGTTAATGCATTTATCATAACACCACTGACGAAAGCTCAAACGTGTCTATCTTACCCACGTTCCTGCCTCACTAGCACAACTGTTTTCACTTTCTGCGTCCCCTTCAGTCTGTCCACATACGTACTTACCTGCAGTAGTAACTGTACGCATAGCATTGCATGTTCTGTACTTCCTATGTAAGGATATGTTACGAATGCTTTTCACCTTGACACAGTCTTCATCGTGACCATGTCCGTGGCTGCCCAATATTTTCCTCTGCCCACAGGGTCGCCCCCAGCACCCTCAGGTCGTGTTGCCATCCAGCAACAGAAAGAAAGCTCTCTGGGCTGCAACCCGTGCAGCGTCTCTGCCCCAGACGCCCGGTCGCTGCCACCTCCTTTCAAACCCCCCCTCTCCCTGGCAACAGAAGAGCACCCAGACTAAACTATGGGATGGGCTCAGCACATGTGGCTTTGAGGTTGTTTTAAATACCAAGGGGCTCCTCCCAGGAGGAAACAGTTTGGAGGGGCTTCTGGGGCCTTGTTCTTTCTTCTCTAGGTCTGGAGGGAGGCGGTCAAGGTGATTCTGGGCACTGCTTGTGCAGCTCAGCTCCCCAGGCAGGGGGCTTGGGCCGGAAGCCCCCTCTAGGAGCACAGAGTATATGTTCTAGGAACCAGAAGTTAAGCGTAGGATGGTGCACGTAAGACGCCAGCCCCAGGCAGACGTCACTCGGTTCCCGGACCCCTTGCTGCGGGGCTCACGTTGTCTTCGTCTTCCATTTGGGTAGCTGACTCCCTCCAGCCCTCGTGGAGGGTTCTGTCTATCCTGCGAGAGTGAGGTACCAGTCTCCTGTGCCTCTGCCTTCTCCTGAGCCGAATACTCAACTTGGGGATAATAAAAAGGTAGTGATGGCCCTGGCTGGTGTGGCTCAGTGGATTGAGCGCTGGCCTGCAAACCGAAAGGTCGTCTGTTCAATTCCTAGTCAGGGCACATGCCTGGGCTGCGGGCCAGATCTCCAGTTGGGGGCACATGAGAGACAACCAATCAATGAATCTCTCGCACTTCGATGTTTCTGTCTTTCTCCCTCCCTTCCCCTCTCTCTAAAAGTAAAAAAATCTTTGTTAAAATTAGTGATGAAGTTACTAATAACAAGGCCTAATATTTATGGTGTACTTACTCTGCTAAAAAGCACTTTTTACTGGTCATCCCACTTATTCCTGGCAACAAACAAATAAGATAGGGAACTGTCACTACCCCCATTTGGTGGCTGGGGGGACGAGGCCCCGAGGAACTGAGTGGCCTGCCCGGACCCGCCTTAGAATTCTAGCCGGACTTCCCGCCCGCCGTCCCCGCTGGGAAACGGTGAGTTTAAGTGAAGCACAGATGAGCTGCTCCTTTTCATCCCCTCCAGAGAAGCCCCTTGCTGGTGTTGGAGTTATTTTGTATAAAGGCTTGGATTAGAAATATTTCGTTCCCTTTAAATTTTCCCATAGAGGCTTTGCCCTATTTTTGCCTCAGAACTCTGCTTCAAGGGAGGAGGAGCAGGGAATTCCTGTCGAGGGAGGAAAAGGAAGAGGTGGTTATAGCCTCAGCCTCCTGGCCCACAGCCTTGGCGAGGAAGAGAGGAGGAAGATGGGTGGAGCGGAAACCTGCGGGCGCAGGGGCCTTCCTGTGTCCTTGTCATGAGTCCCTGCTCGGGTGCCGTGAGAGCTGTGGGAAGAGCAGCTGCTTTTACGACAGGCAGCCCAGGGCCCCGTCCCAGCTGGGCCACTGACCAGCTAGATGGATGACTTTGGGTGGATAACCAACCGTGCTTCCCCCGACCATCGGCCGTGAGGATCGAGGACTGATGGGGGGTTAGAGTCTGCCGAGCCTCGCACAGAGCAGACGCACCCAAGAGGCCTGCCTCCCTCTCCCGCCAGCCTGTTCCCCCTGGAGGGAAACATGCATGCCGGGCTCTTGGGCCGAGCTGCCTGAGACTCGGTGACAGGGTGGGGCCCAGCATGGCGCACGTGGATTCTTTTCCCCACCCATGTGCCAGAAATGGCATCTCCAGTGGAAGTCTGGCTGCAGGTACAATCACACGCACCTGGTCGTCTTGGGCTTTTAGACTCCGGCTTCGGTGCCCAAAGCCCCAAATGCAAGCAGGGTGTTTTTCCCAGAGTCGTGGGGAAGGGGTGGCAGGCCCCGAGGCCTGTGGGGCTGGTCTTCCTCGGAATCAGCCGAGGACTCCTCTGCAGGCAGCTGGGGGCTCTTGGCCCTTGTCTTGCCATCCTGGTCCCCACAGGCGTGGACTTGAGAGAGGCTGCAGCCATGGTAACAAAGAAGACCCTTTAGAGAAATTGTGGCACCGAAGCAGAAGGTGGACTTCTTTGCCTTTGGATTGTGTTTCTCCTCCCTTCTCTGCCCCCTGTTCCTGTTTGCCCTCCCCAGGCCACCTCGGAATCCCACATCTGGCTACACGCAGGCCGGCTGCTGGGTCTAATCATAGCAGTGGGCGGGCCCGGCTTAACCCAGTGCTTGTAATTGCCCAATTTTAGAAAGACACCGATTCTCTGATTAAAGAACTTTGCCAGAACATTTTCGAGATAGGGCATGGATGGGAGGCGCCCCTCTGCAGCCTTGGGAACGGCAGCCGACTCAAAGCCCAGCCCGGGTCTCAGGGATGCGGACAACCACAGGCCCCCCCCCCCCCCCCCCCCCCCCCGGGAAAGTGTGCAGCTGGGAGGGCAGGCTGGACGTGCCCGCGTCTCTTGTGCTCGACACACGGCCACCCTCCAGAGGCCCGGACAGCTCCGAGCACATCGTGCAGCCCCGGGAGAACCGGCTGCAGTGCCCTGCGGCGAGCATGGCCGTCCTCCAGGGCCCGTTTCTCCCTGGGCCTGTTCCTTAGCCAAGACTCTTCTTCTAATAAGCGCGAACATAATGGATTCGTTTATTCCTTTTGAAGACAGAACCGCCACCACATGCCTGCTGCGCGGACCGCCACGGCAGGTTAAAATCACCAGGGCCGCATTTCTGGTACCTTAGCGTACCCCCCACGGAGAAGTAAATGTCACTGGAGCAAATTACCGACTGAACGCATTGGAATCTATAAATATTAAATTGCTCCGGCTTTCACTTGCCCATGTACAATTAAGGCTCTGGTGAGCTGCGGAGGGCCGACGGCTGGATAGTGTGAGGTCGGGAGGGACCGAGTGCTGATGAGAGACAAGTGTCCCCGAAGGGCTGGGCCGAGGCCGACGCTGTGGGCTGTGGTTGGTGAGAGGCGGCTCTGGCTGCAGGACAAGCCCCGGCGCAAAGAGCAGGGAGGTGGAAACCCAAATGCAGCTGTAACCCAGGGTGAGGTTGCTCTGATTTTTCCTCCGGGGCTTTATGGTCAGAGGGGTGTGGGGACCAAGGGAGCTTCATGTTGCGTTTCTCGCCCCAGCCCAGGACTCCAGTGAGAGGGCGGCAGCGGTGCCGCCAGCGTGCTCCCTCCGGGACTGTCCCCCTCAGAGCCGGCGTTGGAACCTTCCCCGGCAGTGGGGCTGGAGTTGGGGACCCCTGGCTCGCTGGCAGCCAGCTGTCCTTCTCCTGGTCTGCTGCTGCCCAGGCCCCAGGCTCCTACTGGACTTAGCCCCCGCCACACCCTCCTTTGGTTGAACCCCTTGGCACAGTGGATTCGTGTTGGTGTGTGCGTCTGCATGCTGCCTGCGAGCGTGACTTTTACACCATCGGTTAGGTTTAGACTCCCGGCAGGTGGGGGCAGCTTTTCCTGATTCTTTGGGGTCGGTTTAGCATTTATCGACTGCTTCCATGCGCTAAGACCCTGCGGGAAGTTCTTTAAACATGCGGCTCATCAATCTTTACGTGGTGGGATAAGGCAGGAACCACAGGACATCCACCGTGTGGCCCAGAGCGGGTGAAGGGACTTGCTCGGGGTTCGGTGGAGAAGGTGCACGCAGACCTGACGGCAGCTCCTGTGGCCATTCAGCGGCGGAGCCTGGGTTCTATCCCCTGGCTTTCCTACTGTCAGTCTGAGCTGGGTCTTCTCCTGGGTCCCCGTGAACTCTGGAGCTGTCCCCTCCTGCTGGGGCCTGTGGCCTAGCTAGCTCTCTCTCTTGCAGGCATCCCCACCCTCATCGTGCTGGACCCGCAGGGGGAGGTGATCACGCGGCAGGGGCGGGTGGAGGTGCTGAACGACGAGGACTGCAGGGAGTTCCCCTGGCACCCCAAGCCCGTGCTGGAGCTGTCGGACTCCAACGCCGTGCAGCTCAACGAGGGCCCCTGCCTCGTCCTGTTCGTAGGTATGAAGCGCAGTGGGGTGGGGGTGGGGTCAGGGTGGGCGGGACAGGACGGAGCTCTTGGGGGCATGTCTGTCCCTACAGCTTCCTTCTGTCATGCAACAATGCAGAGCCCGGGCCTTTGTCTCTCCCAGCAGCCTTGCTTTTGACCCCGATGATTTATTCATGGCTCTCCCCCTGCAGGAGGTGTTCTAGGAGCTGCTGCTGGGCTTCCCTTCCTAGCTGCTCCCAACCGCCAGCTGGGAAGAATAGGTCAGGCCAGAGATGCCCAGGGGCCCCCTGATGAACAGACCCTTTGTTGGGGAGGAGGCGGGGCTGCACCGCAGCAGCTGCAGGGGCGGGGCCCCTTCGGGCTCAGGCTCAGCCAGGGCTGCTTCTGCTGGTCACCTGTGTTCTGACCAGCTGGCCCAGCTTCAGGTGGCACCTCTGTGGCCAACTGCCCCTCTCAGCCTCCCCTCCCTGGCGTGCTGTGGCACTCGGCCGGTGACTGCTGGGAGAGGCAGGAGGGCACAGGAACATTTACACTCGGCTCCCTGCAGCCTGGAGGATGACTGATTCCTTTTGCAAACAGAACAACTGCTGTATGAGATCCACCACACCCTCTGCTCTGGGACTTGTTGCTCAGCTACAACTCCAAGTAAATTTGGGTCCGAGGATGATGGCCCAGAGGCTGCCATTCCCGCTTCAGTGAGGCAGATTTGGGCATCTGTGCAGCATCCCGCCCTGTTCTCTGGAGGTCTGGTTTGGAGACAATATGTGGACTTAGGGGGATTCCTAAGTAAACTACTTGCAGGCTGGTCTTGTGCTTAGAGCCCAGAGGCCACCTGGGGAAAGATGGCCTTGGGGTTTTCCTGCTTGCCGCAGCTCCCACACCTTTGTCCTGGGGGCTGGGAAACAATTCTGAACTGAGGGGCAATTGGGAACCTCACTGGCTGTCTGCAGATGTGGAAACAGGGTTCCAGAGAAGCAAAGCGAGCTCCCAGCATCGCAGAGCTAATATGTATCTAGAGTGTGTCCCACTCCAGAAGACTCGCTGTACCTTCTGGGTGAAAGTCTTCTGCCGGCACGTGCTTCCCCTGCCCCCCAGCTCTGCAACTTGGGGGTGTCAGTCTTGTTCTCAGTCACAGGGTTCAGCAGGAGTGAGCCCTGGGGCCCCCAGTGTGTGCCTGCTCCTGGAGGCAAGAGATGCCCCACAGGGGGCCCTGGGAGCCTGGTTGGGAGCCCTGCATGCCGCAGCCCAGCCCCTTCCAGGTGAGTCTGACCGTGAGCTGTGCCTCCCCACACCACCACCTCTGCCATCTTCATAGGAAGTCAGTGACCGAGGTCTTGGCATTTCATCCTGTGACTGAGAGAAAGCCTACCCAGGACCTCAGGTCCTGGCTTAGGGGAAGCATAGCTTCTCAGGTAGGGTCGTGAGGCATTCAGTGAAAAGGATCTTGTTCACTCGGGGCATCGGTGCTACTCAGGGAAGTGAGTTGCTCCTGGGGAGTGTGGTACAGAAGAGCGTTGCGCAGGCCAGTGAGCGCCTGAACCCACCCTCCTGCACCCAGGAGACGAGGCCTGCACCCCCAGGAAGCTCTTCTTTCATTCAGGGGCCGCCCCGCTGGGCAGTCGGGCCCCAGATGCAGGCGCCCTCAGCAGGCAGCACTTGCTGATGGGCCATCGTGTTTCCTGTCTCTCCCCCCATCACAGATTCTGAGGATGATGGGGAGTCTGAGGCAGCCAAGCAGCTGATCCAGCCAATAGCCGAAAAGATCATTGCCAAGTACAAAGCCAAAGAGGAGGAGGCGCCGCTTTTGTTCTTCGTGGCAGGAGAGGTGAGAGCACAGCCGGGGCCAGAACAGAAGCCAACGTTTGGAACGTGAATGATGGGCTTTTGGGGGTGTTGAAGGGGTCAGGGGTCAGGGGTGATGGTGCCTCTTTCTGGGGGGGCCCACAGACAAATGTGTGGAAAGGTGTGTCGTCAGCAGTCAACCACTTCCTGCCCTTGCTGCCCCCTCCCTCCTCGCTCGGTGGCTGCAGAGCAGCAGGGTGATGCCCTCCCAGCAAGTGTCCTCTCCCAGGCTGCTGGGGAGGCGTGGCTGCCACCAGGATCGTGGTCAGCACTCGCTCCCGTGGGGCCAGGTTTGAACCAGGCCCTGATGCTTTACAGGGTGTCTGCTGGGTAGTCCCTCCTCACCGACCTGCCAAGTGGACTTTTCCCCTTACAGGGATCCCGCAGGGGGCCACAGCGCTGACCTGCAGCTCCCCAGCCAGCACAGGGAGAGTGCTGGGGTTGAAACTGCTGACGTCCCCATCTCTCTCACTCAAAGCCTGGCCCCTGAAGCTGGGCTGGACAGAGCAGAGGACTTTTCACAGGGTGAGAAGGCCAGGCCCTTCAGTTGGGCCGCGGGGCCTGCGGCAGGTGCCTGCCTCCCCCAGGTGGAGGGTCTCCGTCCTGCAGGCGTGGGAATATCTATAGGAAGGCCACCCCTCCCGCCCCCAGGAGCCATCCTCCACCACCACCCCCGCTTGGCCAGGCTCTGGCTGTAACCTGGTCATTGACAGACTCACGTTTTGAAGCCACTGCCCTCCTTCCACCCATCTGTCCCTCCAGTTGGTCAGAGCCCCGTGCTCATTTCACACTGTGTCTGGATCCCAGGAGAGGCGGCGGCAGCCAGACACCCTGAGCCAGCACCCATTCATCACCTCCTCAGTGGCCTCCTCTGCTAAGCCCTGCTGGTCCCCCTGCAGGCAGCTAAAGTCACCCGGCTCAGCAGCCGTGGAATGGAGGGAACAAAGCAGGTTTGCAGGGCCCTGCCTGGGGCTGCAGGAGCCCACCCCACACAAAGCACACGTGGCGGCTGCTCCGAATGTATTAAACGCTGACCCTTTCCACTGGCTCTGGGAGAAGAGGTGGTGCAGCGCAGAAAGAGCTGGGGCTGGGGGTGGGGCTGGAGGGCTCCTGGAACTGCTGTAGAAATGTGGCTGAAAAGGAGCGTTTGCCGGTTTTCTACATACCAGGCGCCAGGCCAAGCGCTAACCCTGCACCACCCCATTTGTCCCCAGCTCTCTGGCTGGGAAGTTATTACTGTGTCACAGGTGAGGACGGCGAGGCTGGGGGGGAGGGGGAGGGACTACTCCAGTCGGGTGGGCCTCCCCCGGCCCCGTGTGAGCTGCTGTAAATCCATGTTATAGGGTAGGGGCAGGAGACCTGGGCTCAGAGAAGAACTTGCCCAAGTCACATGTTAAGTAGGCAGCAGAGAGAAGAATTGGGTATGAGATCAGTGTCACTTCAGAAGCAGGGCCCTGCTCCTTCTGTCCTTGTCATTGGCAAGTGAATGGGCCCACCAGGTATTTGGACAGAGGACCTTGGTCATCCATTGCTCCATTCCCTACTTGACTACCCTGCCCTTCCTGTGCACCTCACCTGGGCCCCTGGCCTCGGCAACGCTCCTGGGCCAGTTCTCTGTCTTGTTGAGAAGCTTGGCAGCAAGGAATGAGTGAGGATGGACACCCGGTGCTGGAGCATCAGGCAGTGACCTCCCCTGAGCCCAAGGCGCCGGCCCTCTCATTCCACCCAGGGCTAAGGGGGACCCTGGGTTGTCTTGATCCTGGCCATTCTGGCAGGCAGACATCATCCCTTCTGAAGCCTTAAGGGACATTAACATTCGTCTCCCTGTGGTTTGCTCAGAGGGGAGGGGTGGGGAGGGGGCGGGAATTTGATGTACAGTGTTTGTCCAGGTGTCTCCCCCCACTACCCCATTTATCATGGGGTAGTTTATTTGCCCGTGTGGGGGGCCTGACTTGGGTGAAGTGCCAGAGACGTTGAGTCCCCCGGCAGTGCTGGGGAGTGTGTGTTGTTTCTGGGGCGGGAACAGGACGACCACCAGTAATCTTCCTAAGATTTGCCCTTTGGGAAGCAGTGTTTCGTTTTGTTTTGTTTGTCTCAGAAACCAGTGAGCAATAAGTTTCATGGTTTTGCTCGTCAGCATTTAAGGCCAGGAACACGCCACAGCCTTTCTCAGCAGGGTGACTCAGAGCTTTCCATTCGGTTCAGAATCTTGTACATTGTGTAGGGAGACAACCCCGGGATGGTACAGAGTCTGTTTTCTGTTACCTGCCACAGAGGGTCAAACAGCGTAAAAGGTGATCCCAGATGCTCGGCCCCTCACAAATCTTTCTCCTCGCCTTTGGACTTCTGAGTCTGCCTTTATACTTCATAAGGCTACATGTGGCACGAGGGAAGTGTCCCTAGACAGTCACAGGGAATGTGTGGCATAGGGCCAGCTTCCTGCTCAGATACACACAGCGACCCTCGTAAACTTCAGTGGTATGTTTATAGCCCCGTCTTCCCCACTGGTTCTGTGAGGCCGGCCTCCTGAAGCCACACGGTGGGGCAGGGCGGCTGTTTAAACACCGTCAGAGCTGAAGTCCAGGTTGGCTGCAGGTGATCCACGGTGCAGCCGCAGGCAATTGAGAGTTGATTGCAAAAGTGAGTAATCAAAGGGCATCACATTTTGGCAAAGCAGAGGACATGTGAAAGTTGCTTTCATGCTAGTAAAGAACGAAGACTCGCCTGGGAGTTTAGGGTGACGCAAAGAATCTGACGAACGAGCCTGCCCTTCCACAAGACAGGGCAGGGTCCACTGCTCCCTGTTCCAAGAGCCCACCTCTCCTGAAGGGGGCCCGTGAGGGAGAGTGGTTCCATCCTGTGCCACTGGGGAACCTGGGCCCCGGGGGACTGACCGTCTACTCTTCCTTAAGACTGATGGGTTCTCTCTTCCTTCTGGTGACTTCCAGGATGACATGACTGACTCCCTGCGAGATTACACCAACCTGCCCGAAGCTGCCCCTTTGCTCACCATACTGGACATGTCCGCCCGGGCCAAGTACGTGATGGACGTGGAGGAGATCACCCCTGCCATTGTGGAGGCCTTTGTGAATGACTTCCTAGCAGAAAAGCTCAAACCAGAGCCCATCTAGGGGAGCTGCAGCCACAGGAGACATTATTTAAAACTCGGTCTTCTCTTCCTCCTCCTCCCCCCCTTCCTTCCCTCCGGCCATGGACTTCTCCAGCGTGTCCTGCGTCACACAGCCCAAGTGTCCAACCTCTCTGTGGTGCCTTGTTTTCTGCATTAACTCCTCAGCTGGCACCCTAGGGTGCGCGTCCTCTCAGCAGCAGAAGAGCCCACCATGTTTGGAGACTCTGCTTGGGATTCCCAGGGCTGCCGTAGCCCAGCCGGCGCTGGGGCTGCGCCTTGTCTCAGTCACCTGCTCTCTGCGAAGCACCTGCCAGGGCATCCTGCCCAGCGAGCGTGAGGGGACCGTCCTGGCAGTTCGGTGACACGGGCGGAGCAGGAAAGGGCCGCCGCCGCGTTAGGCCTCAGCTTAGAGCTTCTGGTGAGAAATCCTTTTCTAGGTGATTTAGTCTGTCTCGGTCTGAGGGGGAAACTCTAGTTTGTCAGTCGATTGTCGGGCAGGGGATCTTAGATCTCAAAGGAAGTTTGTGTTCTTTTCTGGTGAGAAAAAAGAAATAGCTACAGCAACGATTCATGGAGTAATTGCTTCCTTTGATCGAGCTGCTACCACGGGATAAGAGCTTCTCATTCCTCCCTTATCTCCTTCTTCCTTGATCTTGACCTTCTCTAAGTTTCTGCCTTCTCATATGAACAGTCCCCTACTAGCTCAGAATTTTGTTAATAAATCTTCCCCTTGGACATCTTCCCAAGAAGATGCATTTGGCCATGGATCTTAAAGGAGCACCGCCTCTTGCCAGCACAGACCTGACTCAGCCCAGCTCCAGGCCAGGGACCGCTGGAGCCTGCTGAGAGCTGGGGCCCCCCTTTGGATTCCTGTCATTCCCTTTCCTTTCCATAGCAGAACTAAGAAAGAGACAGATTACCAGAAGCCTGACTCTTTCCTAAGAACCTGCAGAAAGAGCTGTGCCCTCAGGTGGGAGGGAGGGCAGAGGACACCTCAATGGAGAGTAGGCCTCGGATCCACTTTGCCTGGTAGCTCGGCTCCTTATTTGGGCTGAACCGAGCACAAAAAGGAGAGTAATGTCTGTGTTCTCAGGAGCTGGAAAGGAGGGCTCTGCTTGGTGGATGTGTCCACCTCTCCCAACCAGGCATCAGGGTCTTGAAACCAACCCCAAGCCTTACCCTTGGCTCCACACTTAGTGCTCAGCCAACCAAGACCTTTTATTTGGAAAACCCAGCCCCCCTCCCCCCATTTAGCTGTAACACTCTTGCTCCAGGCCAAACCGGATTGTTATTTGTAGGTCAGAGGTACAAAATTAGTTGGTAATCAGACTGTTACTTGATGTCCCCAGAAGCCTGAAAATGCAGTCACCTCATAAATAAAGCAGGCATCACTGACGTTATCAACCACTTGGCCTTTCCTGTCCCTAATAACAAAAATCTTCTTGCTTGTGGTGCTGTGCCTTTGTAGGTGGGCAGTGGGGGATGGGACACAGGAGGTCCTCTTGATTTTCACTGGATACCTGGTAGCTATGTGTCAGAATTGTCAAAAACCCTGAGACCTACCACGGCCATCTGTCAAATCCTCCGGAAGTCGGGAAGCTCGTTTGGATGAGAGCGTCAGAGGCAGGTCCCTGCTGGAGTTCTGGCTGCCCTGCCCCTGGTTGGACTCAACACTGCAGGCAGTGGACTCTCAGATTAGACATCTTGGTGGACACTCGTGCTCACTGCCTCTCTGTAGGGGGACAGGTGCTCTGAAGTCAGAGAAGTGCGGGTGGGGAAACACAGGACCCCTGCCTGTGTCCCCCTGTGAAGAATGGGGCAGTAGTTGGAGACCCTCACACCACCTCTGTCTTAAGGCCAGTGTCTCCCTTGGGGGCCAGGGCGGTTCACCTTGATCGGAAGATAGGCAGGGTTTCTGTTTGCACCCTGTATCGTGATGACCTTGGAAGAAAGGAAGTCTCATAGCAGCTACTTCTGGGGTAGAAGGAGCGAAGTCCAATGAGAAGTCCCTGTAAGTCACTGCAACAGAAAAATTAGTTCATCTGTGATCCTTCTATGGCCCATACAGGGTTGACTGAACTGCTTGCCACTGATGTCAACCAGATCCTTGACAGCAGGCTCCCCCTTTTAGGGTGGATGTGCGGGTTAGTAAAGATCACCGGGAAGGCTGGCTAGGAAGGTGTGTTAGGTTTATACAATGGCAACTTGGGGGGGAAGTGCCGGGGGAGGAACAGCCAGTGCCAGTGAAATGTCTGTCTTGATAGTGCTAGAGACCTTAAAGATGATCAATGCAGGCGAGGTGGGTGGCTTCTTAATTTCTACTAAGCACCTCCAAGATACCTTAAAATTCTTGTTGCTAATTGGAAGCAGGCTACACCACCAGCTGCCGGGTATTCGAGGGTTTCTGACGGCAGCGAAGGAAGCTGTGCCCTGCAGGTTGAGGCAGGATGGTGGCTGTAAAAATGCCACCCGGGGGCTCCAGGTCTGTGTTCACCACAATGACTTCCAGATTCGCTTCTACAGTTTTCACAACAGAGATGAGATTTTTTTTTACCTGTCCCCAACAATAAAGATCTACTTAAGATAAAAGGTATGTTCGGGACTGGTGTTATGATGGGAAGCTGCAAATGCCAGAGGGCAGCTGTTAACCAGCTTCCTCTGCCTCCCCTCTGTGCGGGCCCTTGACATTAATGGTGCAGGGAGCCAGTACCGCTCTTCTGGCATCAGCCAAGCTCCAAGTGGTAATTTTCAGCCAGACTTTGTTTTTTCCTGTTGCCTAATTAAAGACACTGAAAAGCTGTTCTCTCCTGCTGCTTTTTTCGAGGGCAGCAAAATGAATTCTGCACTGATATAGAGACATAGTAGGACGTGGTCCAGGAACAGATCCACCGGCTCTAATAAGCTGTTACACTGTCACCTCAGGGAGAAACCACACGTGTGTGCATGCACATGTGCAAGGACTGTACACTTGAGTTAGTGCTGGGAGGGACCTGAGCAAGTGTCCGGTCCGTGCTCCTCTGGTCACACGGCGTGGTCATGCACACATTCTGTTCACTGTCATTTCCCCTCGACCAGGCAGGTCCCGCTTGCTGAATGGGACCGGGATGCCACCGCAGCACAGACTGCCGGGAGGCTCAGCTGTGCTCTCTGCAGCTCTTCTCCACGTTCTGCTTTGTGAACTGACGGGCAGAGGCTTTCGGGTTCGCCCTGAAATGGCTGTTAAAGCGAGCACTTAGCCCACATCCCTCTTTGCTGATACCAACAGGGACAGGAGCAAGCCCTGCTTCCCTCCAAGCAGGCTGCTGGAGGGAAAATTCCTCAGGGACAAATAGCTGTTGTTTATTAGCTTTGTTATTGGTGCTAATGGTGCATGTGCAAAGGGTGAAATATTTTCCAGGAAACAAAAGGCTTGTATGTAGAATTTTATATTGGGTCTGCTTTAAGGCTAGGGTTTCTCCTACTGGAAGAAGTGTGACAGAATATTCTGCACACACCTTACGTGAAAGCATGAAGTAAGTATGTTTCAAGACATGTCTCACCCCCTTGGTGTTTGGAGTTCTTCCCAAGCCAGGAAATGTGTTATTAAATTTGAGTAGGACTTGTTCTGAGGGACTGTTAAGTTTCCATCAAATAATGTGCCAAAGCATAACAGCCTCTGTCCCCAGGCCAAGAGGCCACTGGGAAGCCCAAGGAGACAGTTTCAAGTCTGATTTGTGAATGCTCGCGCCTCACACAAGGGAGTTGCCCACGTGGCCCAGGATACAGGAGGCAGGACCTTAGGCCCAGGGCCATAAAGTAGACCTCTGGACATCAGAGGATAGGACAGCACCCAAACAGCAAACAGAGCCCCTCTGCCGGCTTGCAGTCCATTGGTGTGTGGTACAAGGGACACTTGGAGGCCAAACGCTGCTGTAGCCATGTGGCCTCTCGGAACTTGGTTCCCTTCTTGCATTTTGAGGAGCAGCAGTTTTGGCGATGGCCCGCTCTATAAGAGGGTTCAACTGAAAAAAGCTGCTTTTCCCTACAAACAAATGGAGGAGGAACAGAACTGGCACCATCTGTAACGTGTTCAGATTTCTCAGTCGCACTTGGCCTTCGAGCAGCAGCCCCAGCTGCTGTCTCAGCTGCTTCAGTGTAACACAGCCACCTGGTTCAGACTCCTCTGGAGCAGTCACCCCGGCTCATTCACTCATTTGGCTTCTGGCTTATTACCTCTGAGTATTAATTGGTAAAAATGACCTTGAAGTTTTAAGGGTGTCCAAATGAGTGTTTCCTAAAAAACTAAAAGCTGAGGCACTCAGATCATCTGCTGCAGGAGGGCAGAGGGGGCTCGGCCAAGCAGGGAGCCTTGGGCCCTGCAGGGTCGCTGTTAACCAGCTTAAGCCCTGGAACCCTGGGTGAGGTGCTATTTTGGAGTCTTCGGTGGCAGATGACAAAAGTGGAGCTAGATGCAGCTCAGCCTGGATGGTGGTGACATCTGGCGTTGCTGTGGACCCTGGGACAAGTGCTCAGTCCCTGCTGGGGCCTCAATGTGGGATCCTGCAGCTGTGACTGGGGGAAGGGACAAGGTCTCAGCTGCCCTTGCCCTGCAGCTCCCAGCCAATGGCCGGGCAGTGGGTCCCCAGTGTGACTAGGGACACCTGCATTTGCCCAAAGCTGCTTTCTCAGAGGCTCCATTCAGAGGGAAAAGTTACACTAGTTTGTTTTTGCTGTGACCACTTCTCATTTGTACACGTCTTCTTTTGGTACCACTGTCCTCACATACTTCAGATTCTGTCTGGAGAATGAGTGATAATCTGGATGAGTCTCCAACTTCAGCACCTCCGAGCACAAATGGCTTGCAGAGGCCCGGTGGTGGAGGGAGACTCTTCACTCCGTCATCTTTTTTCAACTAAAACCCAGAGAAAGCCCCCACCTTCCAGTCAAGGTTAGGAATGGTTTCGAGGCATGGCTGCCACCTTGTGGCAGGAGTCATATTACAGCTGCGCTGAAACACAAAGCAAGGGGCAGCCTGGCCAACCCCACAGCCTCCCTGTCAGTCAAGCAGTATTTTATCAGATACTGCTCAGTTTTTATTTCCTGGGGACATGGTGACAGATGTTGGCCTCAAAATTGAGAAGAATTCAAGATAGCAATTTTCCAGTATTACTCTGCAAACAAGAACTTCACCACTTCGTCCCCTGTCATTTTAAAGAAAGGAAAATTCACCCTCCACTCTGTTAAAATTGCACCCACAAAAATATGAAAGGAGCTCCCAAGGCGTGGTACTATGTAAGCCACTGACCACAAAGTGAATGCAACATAATTTCATTTCCATCTTCCACGAGGATAAAATAGGCTTAGAGGTACTTTTTACACTGTTGTTTTTCTGTACAAAGACAAGGTCTAGGGTTTGTTGTTTCTTTCACTGATTTTTATTTTGTAACAAAAATCAGCAGGAACAGTGACGCAGGGACAGAAACTGCAGGTTGGTTTCATGCTGAGCACCACCTTCCTTTCAGTGATTTGTTTCTGGAGCACTTTGCCAAGGTGCTGAGACCAAACATCAACAGAGGAGTGGCAGTTTTCTGGGCTGCCTCCCAGACTTAGCCTGCTGGGGTGATGGGCAGTATGGCCAGCAGACTGGGCCCAGCCTTTAGGGGCTCATCTGCCCTCTAAAAGCTGACAGTCAATCTGTGGGCCACGTGCATGGGACATTTGTATGGGGCCCCAGGCAGGCCCAGACTGGAGCGGAGGGGCAGCAGGGCAGCAGTTCTGGCCCCTCAGCCTGGGAGAGCATAGGCTAACCAGACTGTTCCTGCAAAAACCCCTCCCCTCAAACACACCAAAGCAATTCCACCCTGCCACTTGGGGATGGAGGAAGTTCAACCAGGACCTGGGGCAGCCACAGAAGGGGGATCACAGCTCCTCTCGGGCATGCCGGCAACTCAGCCTCCCCAGATTGAGCAGCGGAAGGGCTCCCACGGAACCCTGACAGGAGCCACTGCACAGAAGGGATGCGGGAAAACACCACTGGTGTCCTTCGTTATCCGTGACTCCAACCGCATTCTCCACACCTGCAAAGGCACCGCTTGCAGTAGGCCCCCTACTTCAGTCCTGCTGGCCCTCCACACAGTGACCTTAAATACAGTGATTACTATCTGCATCTGCCCTCGTGTTCCAGGCTATACCCAGCTTCCCCTGGTAAGTGAGGATCTGGCTAGTTCTTGTCCCCTGAGGGTTTGACAGAACAGCAGGGTCCTACTGCAGTGTTGTGGGCCCAAGAGTTCCAAGTTCACACCCTCAGGAACACTGGCATTTTCCTAAGCAGTTCTGTTCCCCGTGCAGGAAAGAGGCTTAACATAAGTAACTCCAGTCACCACGTTTAACCAAGTGTTCAGGAAGTGAGTAAAAGGGGTAGTTTTCCCGACAGATGCAGGGTTAAGCTGAAGATTGTAAAACTGTTGTCCTCCTTTCCTCCACAAAGAGTCCTCAAAAAAGACATCTGCAGAGGTGCTAAGAACACGTACCACCACCTGATGGACCCAGTTGCTTCTACCAGCCGTATCACCAGGAACAGGGGTACCGCGTCACAGTACACAGTAGCTGTCGGGGCCTGCGCGAACAACTGCACAGGCGGACACAGTGAGCCGCAAGAACAACTAGCTACTGAGGGCCCTCACCTGGGGCCATTACATCTACATAAAAAATCGGGAGATGGGAGATCTCAGAAGAATTCTGATCTTTGAGAATAGGCAGAAATCCTTTAAGGGAAATTACTTTTCCAGGAACCAACAGCACTGTGCCTACCTGCTGGGGAGCCACCATTACTAATTCTGCAGGAGGAGCTGGAGACAACCTCAAATGAAGGATGACTTACACGTCCCTTCTCAGTGGCAACTCCTGTCTCTGCTTAAGGGTCCGCCCTTAACCGCAGCTGTCTCTTCGCTTCGAACAGCAGGATGCTGGCGGCCATGGCCGAGTTTAGGCTGTCCACACCCGGCACAACAGGGATCAGTAGCCGCTTGCCCCCGGTGCTCTCAGCCAGCTGCAGGGACTCCAGGCTCACGCCGTGGGTCTCCCCCCCTATGACCACGGCTGCTGGTGCCTCTGCCCAGTCCAAGTCGTAACTCTGGACCTCAAGTTCAGGGAGCCAGCCTTTACCAGCTCCAGTTTCTAGAACCTCCTCCTCCTCTTCCTCATACTTGTGCAACTTTGAGAGTTGTCGGTCACACATCCAGCCGTGGTCACTGGCTTTCTTAGAGATCTGGGCCTGAGCACAAAGGCCACAGTTGTCTGCCACGTAGACACGGGTCTCGGGAGGCAAGTAACTGGGCACCGACTCCCAGTCCAGGTTGTTGATGACAGGCACCTGGAAATGCGCACCCATTCCCGCCCGCAGCACTTTGGGCTCCCAGGCATCCACACAGCCTGGAAAATAGAAGAGAGGATCCAATTAAAACTATAAACCATCTACCCTGGTCGAGCAGCTCAGCTGGTGAGAGCATCATCCTGATACACCTCGGTTGTGGGTTTGATCCCTGGTCAGGGCACCTAAAAGAAGCAACCAATGAAAGCATAACTAAGTGGAACAACAAACTGATGTTTCTCTCTCTCCCCCTTCCTTCCTTTTTCTCTAAAAATTAAAAAAAAAAACCAGCCCTGGCTGGTGTAGCTCAGTGGACTGAGTGCGGGCTGCGAACCAAAGGGTCGCAGGTTCGATTCCCAGTCAGGGCACATGCCTGGGTTGCAGGCCAGTTCCCAGTGGGGGCCACACGAGAGGCAGCCACACATTGATGTTTGTCTCTCTCTCTCTTTCTCCCTCCATTCCCCTCTCTAAAAATAAGTAAATAAAAATCTTTTAAAAATATAAATTTTTAAAAAGTAAATAAAATTTAAATTTAGTGAAAATTAAAAACAACTTTAAAAAATTACAAACCTTCCCAGACAAGGGAATTATGGAGTAAATCAGCTTAATTGTAATCAGGAATTAAAGCAAAAAAATAGTCCTACTGTAGCCTTCACGATCACTGGCACCTCTGCCCCCCCCACTACGGCAACACCCAGCAAAGGGACTGTAGGAGGAAGTCCCGTGTGTGAAACTGGTCTCATTCATCCCTTCAACGTTCCCCACACACATCTGCCGGACACTGTGGGGATGTGAAGGGCACTGAAGTCTCCGACCCCAAGGAGCTCATGGTGCAGAAGAAGCATGAACAGGGTAACAAAGTAGGACTATCAGGAAGAACATCCCGGAGACTGGCCACTGAGCTGGACCTTGAAGGACAGGAGGGCCCTGCCTGAGAAAGGCCCCGGCGGAGGATGACGCACCGTAAGGGGAGGAGCGCCGAGGTCTGAGAACCTTAAGTACAGGGCACCGGGAAAACCGGCGGGTGGTGTGGTAGGAAACGAGCCGGGAGGCCGGCAGGGACCGACGGAAAGGAAGCTGGGGGCACCGGGTATGAGGAGCTTAGGGTTTTCTCTGAGGGACGACAGAATGACACTGAAGTATTTTATAATCCCCTCCCACACACCCATCCTCTGAGTTGTAACAGGCATTTTAGGCTTGTCCCCACTGTTAGGCAAGTATGTTTAGAACCAAACTTACTAATCCCTATTTCTAATGAGACAGAAGAGAAATGTAATGAGGCTAATTTATGTGACGGGGGTTTGACTTCCGAGGCTAAAGACGACATCAGAATTTCATAATTGCGCTCTGTTGAAATCAATCCTTTCACAGGATTCAGAGCGTCAAAGAGTTAGAAAGATATCACACACCCAGCAATCTGGGAATTCAAGATTATTAAATAAAAACTTGAAACCAAGTGTTAAAACTGGTATCTATTTCTTTTCCTAAATGCAGTTCTTTCTTTAATAACCTAGTAGGTGTAGAACTAATTTTAACAGATAATCAACATTTACTGAATCACCACATGCCAGGTATGGTGCTAAGTATTTTATGTGCATCGGGTCGCTTAATCCTTAAAATAACCCTACCAGGTAGATTGTTGTTATGCCCACTTTACAGAGCGGAAAGTCACACTCAAAATGTGCTCACAGACACGTAACTGGTAAGGGACAGATCCAAGGTTCAAACCCATGTGTCTGCCCACAAGGCCAGCTCACTTACAAGCGGCCACCAGACCACGCAGCCCCGTGCGCCTTACCTTTGGTGAGTAAGACTTTGCTGCAGCCCGCCCCAGCAGCAGATCTCAGAATCGTCCCCAGGTTCCCAGGGTCACGGAGATTGTCACAAATCAGCAACAAGGGCAGTGAATGGTGAAGCTGAGTCTCTGGGAACGTCATCTTAACATAGTCGGGTCTGGCAAAAATCCCTGAGGAAACAAAACAGGGAGTACACTTGTCTAATGTGGGCATGCAGATCATTTAACTTTCCCTTTACTTATCACTTTTTCTATTCTTAATCATATGCATACATTCCAATTGAAATTCGAACATAAAGTCCTACCAGCAATCCCCCATATAACTGCTATCAATCTTGGACCATATCCTGTTCTCTCAGAACTGTTCCATGCAGCTGCCCAAATATATGTACATCCACCCACACATAGGTGCTTTTATTCTTTTACATAAAAAGAAATCTTACTCTGTGTTAGTCTGTAATCTTAGTCCTGGAGAACTCAACATGTCAATGTTTGCCCCCCCTACTCAAATTTGAAATAAGACACAATAAGGACGTGCTGAACAAAATGTATTTTTAAAAGCCCTGAAATCACCAAAACAGTCACAGCGAAGAAGGGACTCCGGAAGTCCAGGGTGGGCTGGCCACAGCACCCACACCCAAAGTGGCAAGCATGGTAAAAACGAGTGACACTTTCTCTGCAGCATGGGACAGTGATCAGGGGTAGCTAGTAGGAGTAGAGTTACTCAGAGCGGGTGGGAAACTTTAGTAGCCCAAGTCCTCATCCTAGGGGAGAGTTCTGCACACACAGGCACCAGTTCCTGTGACTTGCTGGGTTATAGAAATGAGACAGTCCCCAGAATTTTCTCTCCCAACTAATAACGGCACAGTGAGCCCTTCGGCACAGGGAATACACAGGTGTGATGGGCCCGGACTAAGCATCAGAATCTTGAAGATAGCTCCGCCTGAAGATAACTGTGGCTTACTATCTAAGGGAAACCTCTATATGTACTGCCATTCAGTTACAATGTCAAAAAGAATGTAGTCTTTCCATATTCAGAAAAAGCTTTCTAAGTGCTAACAGACATCACAGTTATATAAACCTAGAACTAAATGAAGACAGGGTTTCCCATTCAATGGGCTAACCAGGCCAGTGAATTGCAGCTGACTGCTCAGATCTGCCTCCAGAAAATAGGAGTCAATTATAGGTATTGCCACACTGTCAGAGGTTTTGAGGAAATGGATAGCTAAATATTTTGATAAGCATTTTCTTAATTTTTAGTTGGACATTAAAGGTTGAATAAGTGACCTAAAAAATAACGTGTGAGGAATAAAGAGCCAGAATACAAATGATGACAAAATGCTGGCTTCAGTTTCCACTAAAAATACTCTACGATGCATGATTTATATAAGATTTGATAACTGTATTTTTCTGGATATCTTAAGAAAACGTTAGGCAGTAACACTCGAACTTGGTTTAAATAAAATCTGTTACCCTAAGACACGTAAACGAATAACCCCAGGTGTCTACTTCCATGACACACTGTATAACCACTGACCCATTATTCCTTGTGGTGTTACTAGGTCGGACCAATCCTTGATATCCTCAAATTTCACCTTAATGAGGCTGACCCCTTTCAGCTTATCAATGGGCAGCTCCTTCAGGTACTCCACGCGGCTAAAGAAGAAAACTTGGGGCACAGCACCAGCCTTGAGAGCGTCTGCAATCAGCCTGCGACCTTCCAGCAGGATCTTCCCCTGCTTTTCCCGAAACGGCCTGGACTTAACTATGGTCATTACAGTGCTGTGGGCAGAAACAGACTAGTCGTTACCAAACATCCCAGATACGGAGACACACTTAGTTCTAACAGAGACAGAAACAAACTTATTCTGAGAGATACTTATTCTGCCCTCCGGGCATCACAAAATCCAGCGGGTGGCAACGGAGTAAACCCAGAGATTAAGGTCCCGCGGCAAGGCGGGAAGAAAAACGGGACTGCCCCACAAGCTTTGGGAACACATCACCTCAGCCTTCTGTCCCCAGGTAAAGCCTTGTCGTAGCGAAGCCCGGACTCTTCCCAAGTGCTGGGCTTCCGAAACGCAGGCGCCTGAGGCGGCCGCTGCTCCGGCGCCCGCTGCACTCGCGGCGCGTGGGGGCTGCCCTCGGCCGCCGCCTTCCCCGGGTGCTTCCCGGGCCCAGGCTTCCGTTCCGCCGCCGGTCCGGATGGAAACAACACTTTCACCGGGCTCCGCCGCAGCGCCCGGACCCAGCGTCGGGCGTTCAGGTCCCAAGTCTGGGCCACCAGCAGCATCGGTCGCGTGGGCCACCGCACACCCCTCATTAAAATAGCCATGTTCCCCGCACGGCGTGGACTACGTCACGAAAGTGAGCCGGCGGCGACCAATGACGTCACTGGGCTGTATCCGTCCTCTGTGGGCGGGGCGGCGCTAGGTGAGCGAAAAGGTGTGTGAAGCTGGTGGTCATGGCGACTCGCCGAGCACTGCACTTCGTATTTAAAGTGGGAAACCGTTTCCAGACGACGCGTTTTTATCGTGATGTCCTAGGGATGCAGGTGGGCGGGGCCGAGGGGGGCTGGCGCGCGAGGGTGGCACGGGGGGCTGAGCCAGACCCGGCGGAGAGAGGACAGAAATGAGTTTCAGCCGGAACCCGGGTGTCCGACCTTAGTCTCAGAACTTCCAGTTAGTTCTGTCGGGTTTTCAGCTTCAGGAAGAGTTTCGAGTCTCGGTTGGGTTAGGTGGCCTTTAAAAGGGGATGCACGCTTATTAGTCTCCGGCTATGTGCTCATACACGTTCCTTCGCTTAAATTCATTCATAAATAGAAGTTGTATATTGAGCTCCTGCCATTGTGGAGGTCCAGTCTCAAGGGCAAGCCAGTAACTAAACAAAAATTCCAGCGAACAATAATTCAGCCTCTTTGGGTGTGGAGCCTTTCGGTCTCGATAATGAGCATATTTCAGAGCTCTGTTTCGGGGCTGGCTTTAATAGTCTCTAGGATACTCAGCCTCCCGGGGTGAATCCTCTCAGCAATCCAGGTGTAAGTGTGAAGTGGGAACACAGTCTCCTATGCCACACCCGGAAGGGGTCTCTCTGCAGCCCTGCGCAGCCATGACTGCATAAGTCACGGGGTGACAAACAGGTGAAAGCTATTGGGGAGTTGCTAATGAGCAAGGACTTCAGAGGTGTGGGAGTCCAGTTTAATACAGAGAGTGCAGAAGACGTGGGAAGCAAATATCCTATCTAGTTTCACCGTGCTATGTTGAGGTTTGGTAACAAAGATGGAAATAACTTTGATTAAAGCTGGTCTGGGATGGAATGGGGATGGGAATTGGATTTGTACATAGCTGACAGTAACAGAAGTAGAAATTTGATAAGTGATAGAAAACCACAAAGCTTCAGGAAGTACCATCTATGAACTAGGAAGCGAACCTTCTCCAGACCTTAGATCTGCCAGCCCCATAATCTTGGACTTTCAGCCTTCAGAACCATAGTAAAAAAATGTTTGTTGGTTATAAGCCAAAAAGAAAAAGGAAACTCAAAGCTCTCCTTTCATGTGTAAATGTTATCTACCATTATCAAAATACAACATAAGGAGAGGCTGAACTTCAACCTGGAGTGGTCAGAAAGAATTCATGCAGGCTTTGCATTTGAGTTGACATTCTAAAGATAGGATTTCCACAGACCACGCTTAGGGGAAGTAATAGAAAAACTAAAGAGCCAGCGCTAGGATGAGGTATGTTTGGGAAACACCCAAAGGCATCTAGTCTTGTGCGTTTAGCTTGGATTGATTAGTTAGTATTGAGGAGATAGGATGTCAGTACAAATAGGCTGGAACTGCTTCCGGTAGTACCTTGAATTCTGTGCTAAGGAATTTAGATTTTGTGCCACAGTGAATAGGGAACTCTCTTGCATTTTGGAACAGGGCAGTGATGTGATCAGAGCTGTGCTCTACAGACCTGATTTTACATTGGCGTTGATGTAAGAAACATCCGAACCTGTAGGGAATGTTTTTTTAAAGATTTTATTCATTCATTTTTAAAGGGGAAGGAAAAGAGAGAGGGAGAGAAATCTCAATGTACGGTTGCCTCTCGTGTGTCTCTCACTGAGAACTGGCTTGCAACCTAGGCATGTGCCCTGACTGGGAATCAACCGTGATCCCTTAGCTCGCAGGCCCGCGCTCAATCCACTGAGCTACACCAGCCAGGGTGGGGAATTTTTATTATAAGAGTTTATTTGAGCCAGACTGACACAGTGCTGGGAAGGAAGATCTCAAATGCTCCAGAGAATGACAGTTTTGCAGTTTAAGGAGGGAAGGTAAGGAAGAGTACACAAAGATGGGAGAAAGTAGGGTGGGGGGATTGGATTACAGGATAGTTAACAAGATCGTGTGCTCTCTTGAGGATGGTCCTGCTTCTGAAGGGTCTGAAAAAGAAGCATTTTAAAGGTGTGTTAACCTAGATGCACAGAAACAATGGACAGGGCTTGCTTAAGGCAAAGATAGACTTTTTAAAGAGGGTTTATGCCTGGAGCAAGACTACCCACCATACTTGCCCAGTTAGAAATGTATGATCAGATCACCTTGTGAGGTTACTTTTAGCCACTGGACTTTGTCAGATTTAGTATAGAGCCCCTTTTTTGGTCCACAGTGGTATTAATGAAGGAGGTCAATAAATATTTTTAATTGCACTTATAAAATATTTTATGTACACAGAGCTAGTATTCTGCGGTAATATCGGTGTCTTGAATGACCCACTCACAGAAGTTCACTTAGTCCAGCTAATGAAGCCTACGTCCTTCTCGTACTAAGGAAAGCGCAGGCAGCCCATATTGAGGCTGTATTTCTGGATCAGACCGTGTGTGCAGGCTTGGGCAGATGTGGCAAGAACAAGGACCCTGGTCAACATGTCTTGATTGGCTCCAGTAGAGCTGCTGGTGACCCATCTTGCTCTCTGGTGCAAGGAGACAAAAGGAAAGAGCTCTAAATATGTTTTTAATAGTCTATGGGAGAAGTGATTAGGAGCTTGAGCTGGAGCAGTAGAAGCGAGAATGAAAAAAGAAAATAGAAACTGACACATTGAGAGTCTATTGTGTACTAGGTTCTGTGCTGTAATAAATTATCCATTTTCACAACATATTAGGAGACCCAGATCTGAAGCGGCAGTCCCAGGGTTACACAACTACTAGGTGACAGCCAGAATTTCATGTCAGACTTTTCTATGCCGAAGGCCACTTTTTTGCTATAGAGCACTGCTTCCCAGTCTAAGTAGATTTCACAACTGTGCTCGGTTGCCTGGCCCTTGATGTCAAGCTGTTCTTCCTCACCTCCACTACTTCTAGCCTGGGAAAGATAAGAAGCTTATTACCTTCTGTTTGTTTTACAAGTGAAGTTTTCAAATGATAATGTCTGCGTTTTGATTATTTTAGTTTGTGCTAACCATGCTGCAATAGTACTAGTAAAACTTTACCATTTATTCTGATTCCCTTACCAGATTCTGCGGCACGAGGAATTTGAAGAAGGCTGCAAAGCTACCTGCAATGGGTACAGCACCTTGTTTCTTAAAATCTCCTTCAGGCTCTGAAAACCCCTGGAGGACACAAAGCAGTTCCTCAAAGTGGGAGTGAAAGAGGCAATAAATTGGGCAACTTCAGGAACACAAATAAGTATATGCTGTGGTAAAACAATGTCTTATCAAGTGTCTCTTAAGAGCTGCTATCTCTTAGTAGCCATGGCAAGCTGGAAAATTCCAAAGCCTGGTGGGAATTACATGCTTGTTGATGGATATGCAAAAAGATAAATTAAGGTCAGCTTAGAGGACTGCCTTTATAGGATTCTGTTCCCTACTTTAGAGAGTAGATAAATGAATCTTTTCCTCAGGTAAGTGCCAGCCAGCTGGTCTCCGGAGCCTTTGGTGGTGGGGTGCATGCGCACTGTCTGCAGCTACTCCTAGCTGCAACTGAGGTCATCTCATCCTTATGGGTACTTAAGACCAGAAGGGGCTTGCCCACCCCACTTTCCCAGTAGTTATTTGGGGGAAGCCTGAGGCAGATTTTATCAGAGGTCACTGGATTCATTTACTTTTCTTTTCCTAGGCCTTATGATGGAAAATGGAGCAAAACAATGGTGGGGTTTGGACCTGAGGATGATCATTTTGTTGCAGAACTAACTTACAATTATGGCATTGGAGACTACAAGCTTGGCAATGACTTTATGGTAAATATCATTTTGTTCTAGACTTTTGGTTACACCTTTTATTGATGTCAATGATACAGCTTTAGGTATGTTAACTGCTGAATGGATGGCCTTTTGGAGTAATTTAGTGATTAGTTTTATGATGTTTTCTATTTAAAACGAAACTGCTTGGGTACTCTGGCTCCAGGATGAAATGTGTTCTTCCCATGGTTTGGAATCAAAGTCAAGACTTAGAGACATCTTAGAAGGAGACAAAACACCTCTAGAGGAATGATGGACCTCGAGAAGTGAAGGGCCAAAGTCATCAGTCTGGTTGGGTCCTGAGCACCTTCCAGAGAAGTGTTTTCTCTGGAGTGGACATTATGGTTGGTCTGGGCCGTCACAGCCAATCCTAGTAGGAGAAGAATCTGGGAGTGTTTTGAGGGTAAAGCGAAGAATGCATTCAAGAATTCCAGTTATCATGCACCTGTTACAGGAATAGTATCAGCCATTTATTAAGCAGTTACTCTGTGCCTACTTAGAATGCCACTGGGACCACATACGTAGCAAGAGAGGAGTGACTAATTTTTACTCAGTTTACTGAGCAAATCTGCTTTTTGGTAGATGTTATTTTGGTCATTTGATCTCCCTATTTCTATTTAACTCACATTAACTATGCACTGTTTAAATCATATTAAAATAATTATATCTAGAGGGAAGTTTTTATGAGGATCAAAAGTCTACAAAGTATTTTGTAAATGGAAAGGACTCTTTGGATTCAGTATATTAATTTGTTTTTCTCTTTTCCTCTCTTCATGCTTCTCACTAATATATTCATTTAACATATATTTACTGTGACTTACTGTATGCTATGTACCTCATTAGGTCCTGGGGGTGCACTAGAGAGTAAAGCACGTTCCCTGGCCCGAGGAGCTTCGTGTCTGGTGGGGGAAACCAGTAAAGACAAGAATGCAGCGCAATAAGTGCTAAGATTGGGATAAGAACAGGGGGAAGTGGGGACACATGGGGTAATTCCCAGCCTGTCTCTGGAGAGGTGAGGGTTCAGGAAAAGCTTCCCAGAGGTGACATCTGGGCCGGTGAGCGGAGCTGGAATGGAGGTGAGATGAGCGTGTGCGCTGGCCCGGAGGTGAGAGGGACCATCTCACTCAGAACTATGAGCAGTACAGTCTGACTGGAGCTCAGTGTGTGGGGAAGGGAGTGGGTCGAGTTGGGGCTGAAGAAGTAAGCTGGGGCCATGTCATAGTAAGATGTTTTGTAGACTTTATTCTGAAAGCAGAGTGAAGCCATTTTTAAGCAGGAGAGTGCTGTGCTATTTGTCACGTGCAAGAACCCACCTGGCCAGGGCGTGGAAATTGGGTTGGAAGCAGACAAGACTAAAAGGTGGAAACTAGATCATAGAATACAGTAAGTGAACAGCAGCTCCTGAACTAACATGGCAGTGGGAGCTGGAGAGGAATGGAGGGATCTGAGAGATGTTTAGGGGTAGAGTAGATAGGGTTTGGTGATGGAGTGTATACGAGAGTTCCTTTGTGTTTCTCCTCATCTCTTTAACTCTCCAGATTTAAACCAGGGAGAGGAAAAAGAGCAAACCCATCTTGGTCCCATCATCATTTAACTGGCTCAAGTCACATGGTGACTGGTGGGACTGCAGGTGCTCAGAGCACGTGGGTATAGAACAGGATGACAGCTCTCCCACGGTCTCGCTGAGAGACTTTGGTACTAAAAGAGCCCTGATGAAGGGTGCCACCTATGCTTCCCAGTTCCTGGAACAAAACAAGAAAACAGGTTAGTGAGAACTGCCATATATATAAAGAAGTCCTATACATTAAAATGAAAAGGATCAATAGCGTAATAGTTTTAAGGTTTTTTTTTAGAAAGATTTTATTTATTTATTTTTAGATAGAGGGGAAGGGAGGGAGAGAAACATCCACAAGTGAAAGAAATATAGATCAGTTGCGTCTTGTACACCCCCAACTGGGGACCTGGCCCGCAGCCCAGGCACATGCCCTGGCTGGGAATCAAATCAGTGAACTTCTGGTTTATGGGCTGGTGCTCAACCAACTGAGCCACACCAGCCAGGGCTTGACGACCTGTGTATTAATTTACTTATTGTATTATTTATTCAAGTAGTAAATATTTATTGAGTGCCTCCTATGTGCCAGGCACTGCTCAAGGAACTTTGGATAACCAGTGAACAAGACAAAAATCTGGGCCTTGCAGGGGAGAGGGTCCAAGGGCCCGACAGACAAAACAGATAAACTAAATAAATAAATCATATAATATGTTATCTTATTTTGTTGTTTTTAAAAATTTCATTTATTGTTTTTAAGATTTTTAAAATTTATTTTAGAGAGCGGAAGGAAGGGGGAAAGAAAGGGAAAGAGACGTCAATGTGCGGTTGCCTCTCCACTGGGGACCTGGCCTGCAACCCAGGCATGTGCCCTGACCTGGAATCAAATTGGCGACTGTTTGGTTCCCAGACCGGCACTCAATCCACTGAGCCACTCCAGCCAGGGCTATTTATTTATTTTTAGAGAGGAAGGAAGAAAGAGGGAGAGAAACATCAATGTGTGCTTGCCTCTCACATGCCCATTACTCGGGACCTGTCCTGCCACCCAGGAATGTGCCCTGGCTCAGAATTGAACCAGTGACCCTTGCTTTGCAGGCTAGCACTCAATCCACTGAGCCACAGCACTCAATCCACTGAGCCACACGAGCCAGGGCTAATATGTTATTTTTAAAGTGATTAGAACTCTGGCCAGGAGGGAAGTGTAGTAAGACACACTGTGCCTCCTTGTACAACCAAAATAAGGACAACAAAAATTTAGAAACAAAAAACAACCAGAACTGATAGAAAATTGAACTGTATGGAAGTCAGACAACCAAGGAGTTAAAATAGACACATTCGTCCAGACCAGTAGGAGGGGCGGAGTCGGGAGGCCAGGTGGAGACGGGTCAGAGCAAAAAGGCGGTGGCTTGTGGACCTCAAGAGCACAGGACCCTGAGCGCACAGGCGGCAGCTGGCAGGTGCTGGGGGCAGGGTGGCAGCAGGCAGACCCAGTGAGGCACACGAAGCAGCTGGCAGGCCAGGTGGTCACATATTTGTGCACAGATAAACCAGGTTAAATTGGGGAGAGTGACAGACTGAACAACCCAAGGCTCCAGTGCAGGGAAATAAAGCCTCCGATTGAAAACACCTGTGGGGGTTGAGGTGCCAGGAGAGACTCCCAGCCTCACAGGAGAGTTTGTTGGAGAGACCCACAGGGTCCTAGAACATCCATAAACCCACCCACCTGGGAACCAGCACCAGAAGGACCCAGTTTGCTTGGGGGAAGTGTTGGAAGGAACTGAAATCCAGCAGAGAGCAGAGCAAGTGCCATTGGTTGCCCCGCCCTGTTGAATATCTAAGGCTCAGCCCCTCACTACATAACAGGTGCACTGAGACCAAAAAAAATGGCCCAAATGAAAGAACAGATCCAAGCTCCAGAACAAATACAACTAAGCGATGAAGAGAGCCAACTATCAGGTGCACAGGTGCAAGATGCACGGTTCAAGGCACTGGTGATCAGGATACTCACAGAATTGGTTGAATTTGGTCACAAATTAGATGAAAAAATGAAGGCTACACTAAGTGAAATAAAGGAAAATGCACAGGGAACCAATAGTGATGGGAAGAAAACTGGGACTCAGATCAACGGAGTGGACCAAGAAGAAGAAACAACCAAACAGAAGAGAATGAAAACACAAGAATTCAAAAAAATGAGGAGAGGCTTAGGAACCTCCAGGACATCTTTAAGCGTTCCAACATCCAAATGATAGGGGTACCAGAAGGGGAAGAGGGAGAGCAACAAGTGGAAAACTTATTTGGACAAATAGTAAAGGAGAACTTCCCCAATCTGGCAAAGGAAATAGACTTCCAGGAAGTCCAGGAAGCTCAGAGAGTCCCAAAGAAGTTGGACCCAAGGAGGAACACACCAAGGCACATCATCATTACATTAGCCAAGATTAAAATGAAAGAGAGAATTCTAGAAGCAGCAAGAGATAAGGAGACAGTCACCTACAAAGGACTACCCATCAGATTATCAGTTGATTTCTCAAAAGAGACCTTAGAGGCAAGAAGGGGCTGGAAAGAAGTATTCCATGTCATGAAATCCAAAGACCTACATCCAAGATTGCTCTACCCAGCAAAGCTTTCATTTAGAATGGAAGGGCAGATAAAGTGCTTCTCAGATAAAGTCGAGTTCAAGGTTCATCATCACCAAGCCCTTATTATATGAAATGTTAAAGGGACTTATCTAAGAAAAAGAAGATAAAAAATATGAACAGTGAAAGCACAGCAAACTCACAGTTATTAACAACCACACCTAAAACAAAAGCAAACTAAGTGGACAGCTAGATCAGAATCAGAGCCACAGAAATGGAGATCACATGGAGGGTTAGCAACAGGGAGTAGGAGGAGGAGAGATTGGGGGGGAAAGTACAGAGAATAAGTAGCATAGATGGTAGGTAGAAAATAGAGAGAGGGCAAGAATAGTATGGGAATTGTAGAAGCTAAAGAACTTATGGCACATGGACATGAACTAAAGGTGGGGAATGTGGGTGGGTAAGGGTGTGCAGGGTGGGGTAGAACGAATGGGGGGAAATGGGTCAACTGTAATAGCATAATCAATAAAATATATTTTAAAAATAAAAGTGATTATTGTTGTGGGGAAGAACAGCGGAATAAGGGGACTCGAGAGTATAGGGCAGATGACTGATTTTAATTGTAAGGAATGTGTTGAGGGAAGGTGTCAGTTAGGAGCTGACATTTGAACAAAGGCTCAAGTAGATGAGGGAGTTGGCCATGTGGATATCTTGGGGATGAGCACGTCTGGTAGAGAAATAGCCTGTGCAAAGCCACCGAATGGCACCTGACATGTTCAGGAAAATGTACGGAGGTCAGTATGGCTGGAATGGGGTGGGGTGTGGGAGTGGGAGGAGATGGGGTCAGAAATGACATTGGGTCAGATTGTGTTGGGCCTTTCAGGCCATTCCGAGCCACCCCTGAGAGAAATGAAAAGCCAGCAAGGATTTTAGGCCAAGGAAAAACAAGGTGGGGTTTGCTCTCGAGGATAACAGCAGGGCATGTTTTAGAAAGTCCCCCCTGCTGCGGATCAGCTGGCGAGCTGACAGGAGTGTGGGCAGAGAGAGAAGCTGTTGCCATCATCCAGGTGCAAATGAGGCTGTCCTTATCAGAAGGCAGAAGTGTTCATTTTTAGGTATTTTGATTGCACTTAATAGATAACCTTGATAGTTGGTATAAATTTTTTTGTTTAAAAAGCAAAAAAGAGAGGGCTTCCACCAAGATGGAGGCGTAGGTGGAAGCACTGCCCCTTCTCACACAACCAAGTTTAAAAACAACAAAGTTTTAGCAACAAAAATGCAGCCAAACCACAGAAAATTGAACTACATGGAAGTCTGACAACAACGAACCCTTTAGCCAAACCAGTAAGAGGGGCAGAGCCATTAGCAGAGCGGGGTCCAGCAGGAAAGATCCACTGGACCAACCCGGGCGCACATCCCAGGTGCGCCAGCAGGCTTAGGCGGATTCCAGGTGTGGAGTAGCGGGCGGACCCACTGGGGGCGCAAGGCGGTAGACTCACTGAGGGCTGACCAAAGTCACACAGTCGAGCGCAGATAAACTGGTGAAGGAGCGAAGTGGTGAGACAGACCTTGCAAGCCCCAGTGGCGGAAAGTGGTAGAGGGGACCGCCATTGTCCCTCTCTGACCCCGCCCCCACATACAGCTTCACAAACCAGCGACCTGGGTGGCCCCGCCCTGGTGAACACTTCCTCGTATGTAACAGGCACAAACAGATCAAAACATGGCTCAAGAACAACTCAGAGCCCCAGAGCCGATAAATCTAAGCGATGAAGAAATAGCCAAACTTTCAGATGCACAGTTCAAAACACTGGTGATCAGGATGCTCACAGAACTGGCAGATTTCAGTCACAAATTAGAGGAACATACGAAAGCGAAACTAATTGAAATGAATGGAAATGCACAGGAAACCAATCGTAATGGAAAGGAAACTGGGACTCAAAGGAGTGGACCAGAAAGAGGAAAAAAATGACCAAACAGAAAAGGATGAAGAAACACGAATTCAAAAAAATGAGAGGCTTAGGAACCTCCAGGACATCTTTAAATGCTCCAACATCCGAATTATAGGGGTACCTGAAGGGGAAGAGGAACACCCACGAGTGGAACACTTATTTGAACAAATAATAAAGGAGAAATTCCCCAATCTGGCAAAGGAAATAGACTTCCAGGAAATCCAGGAAGCTCAGAGAGTCCCAAAGAAGTTGGACCCAAGAAGGAACACACCAAGGCACATCATCATTATATTAGCCAAGATTAAAATGAAAGAGAGAATTCTAGAAGCAGCAAGAGATAAGGGGACAGTCACCTACAAAGGACTTCCCATCAGACTGTCAGCTGATTTCTCAAAAGAGACCTTAGAGGCAAGAAGGGGCTGGAAAAAGGTATTCCATGTCATGAAATCCAAAGACCTACATCCAAGATTGCTCTACCCAGCAAAGCTTTCATTTAGAATGGAAGGGCAGATAAAGTGCTTCTCAGATAAGATCAAATTCAAGGAGTTCATCATCACCAAGCCCTTATTATATGAAATGTTAAAGGGACTTATCTAAGAAAAAGAAGATAAAAAAGATGAACAGTGAAAGGACAGCAAACTCACAGTTACTAAGAACCACACCTAAAACAAAAACAAACTAAGAGGACAGCTAGATCAGGAGCAGAACCATAGAAATGAAGATCTCAAGGAGGGTTAGCAACAGGGGAGTGGGAGAAGGAGAAGTTACAGAAAATAATTAGCATATACCGTAAATAGAAAATAGATAGGGGGGAGGGCAAGAATAGTATGGGGAATATAGAATCTAAAGAACTTGAGACACGTGGTCATAAACTAAAGGGGAGGATGGTGGGGGGGTGTACAGGGTGGAGGGGAATGAAGGGGGGAAATAGAACTGTAATGACATAATAAAATATATTTTTAAAAAATAAAGTAAAATAAAATAAAAAGCAAAAAGGAAATTTCTCTCATTAGATCTTTAAAATTAAGAGAGATTGCCTTTGGTTTCAATTCAGTGGCATTTGAATTTCTGCCCTGCAATTCACAAAGTTTGGAATCTTGTCCAAACTTAGAAGAAAAGTGCCCAAACCCTACTTTTGAATGCCAATTAATTCTTAGGTGATTTGACATTGTCGACCTAAAAAAAGTACTAACCTGCACAGAATGCTTGTGAGAATTTTTTGAAACCAAACTGACTACATTGCCAGGAAACAGGATCTCAGGAGCTCTGAAGAATGAGTTTTGCAGTTTCTTTTATACATTTGGAACCAAGGAAGGAATGTGAGGAAGATTAACAATTAACAAGATTATGTGCTCCTATGAGGGCAGATACACCTCAGAGGGGTCTAGAAAAGAGGATCGCTTCTGGCATTTTGAAGGTATTAACCTAGGAGCACAAAACGGTGAACTTGAGGCTGGCTTTCAAACTTTCACTAACGACATTATAGGCTGGGGGCATGACGACCCACCATGACTTGGCAGTTATATGATCAGATCACCCTGAGGGTCACTGAACTTGTATGTACCCTTTTTGTTCACCATGTAAAGGTGTTAGGGTTTTGTCTCATTATCTGGTTCTGTAACAGATCCATTGTGGTTACCCACTTGGTTGATACTGCTGTTTCGTCACAGGGTGTCACACTGGCTTCCAGCCAGGCTGTCAGCAATGCCAGGAAGCTGGAGTGGCCACTCAGGGAAGTTGCAGAAGGAGTTTTTGAAACTGAGGCCCCAGGAGGATATAAGTTCTACCTGCAGAATCGAAGTCCACCTCAGTCAGGTAATTATACTAATGAAAGCCCTCTGTCTAAAGGCACCTTCGATGGACAGCGAGAGGTAGCTGGGCCTCTTTCTCCTGTGGAGTCTGTCCCTATTGACCTGACATGTCTTCCCCAAGCCAGTGTGGTCATTTGTTCTCTGAGAGGTTATATTCTTTTGTGGGATCTTTATAATTATAGGGGATCTAGACTGGTTTTATTCTACTGGTAATATAGCTACTTACAGTACAGTTGCGAATAAGAAAACCCAATTCAAACTAGCTTGAACAATAAGTAAATGTTTTAGCTCACAAAACTGGCATTCCATAAGCAGGGAGGATTTCAACATTAGTTGATTCAGCAGCTCACAAATGGCATCAGGAACTGAAATTTGCTGTCTCTCTCCATTCTCTGGTCCACAGAGGTCCACTTCTCCTGGAGCCGGTGCCCTTCATTGTTGTTGTCGTAGGTGGCTGCCAGCGGCACTGGCAGCTACACGCTCTCACATTCTCTCCCAGTAGGGCAGGGAGAGACCGGCTTCCTCTTGCTCTTTTTAAAGAGCAGGGCAAAACTTTTCTGCTAGTCTTCCAGCAAACTTCCTGATCAGGTTTGACTCGTGTGCCCATGCATGAACCAGACACTGGCAAGAGAAATGGGACTATCCTTAGACCAGTTCATCATATTATCCAGCGGAGGTTAGTTTCCCAGACTGGAGCGCTGGTGCTCCGTGAGGGAGTAGGAGCGGAAGGAAGGAGCCATGCACCGCACCGACTGCACACAGAGCGGGAGAGCACCTGCGTGGTGTGTTGCATGTATGGCAGAGGTGTCCTCATCATGGTGTATTTGCATTCCTGCAAATTCTGCTGCCTGCTCTACCCAAAGTAGAAAATACAGTGAATAGCAAGGGCAGTTATTCTGCCTGCCATTTCACTCAGCGAATGTGTGGACCTGAGATGGGAGGCATCCTCCTCTTTCCCACACTGGTCTACCGCAAGTCCCAGAGTCCCTCCGTGCCTTTCCCCTGGAGCTCAGCCAAAGAAGGTGGTGTGTTCCAGGGTGGGAGGTTAGGGTGGCACTGTGGGACTTACAGGGAGGTAGTATTTATGATGATTTTGTACTGATACGTGATTGTTGCTTTATATGTTAACTTTAAAACTTAACTCCTGTCACTGATTCCACTGTACACCTTTTCCCTAATCATGGTGTTTCCATATGTAAAATAATGGCAAGCCCCACAATCCTAAGATGATTTTGTCCTTCGGAATGGAAGTGCCTTTAGGGCATTAATTTCTGATTGATCACATAGCCGATCTATCAGTGGAGCTGGTGTCCGCCCTTCCTTTGAATCACTCACTCACCTGTAGTTTCACACACTTGGTACTTTTCGTGCCCCTGCATCCCTTTGGAAGCAGCTGGAATTTGTTGATTTCTTAATGAACAGGAAAACTAAAATAGTCTGAAACACCGTGCCTGAGGTCATGATACTGATGTTCTAGCAAATGGAACTGAGGAAGCGAAAATGGAAGGAAGTGTATTGAATTTGTCATAGATGCAGACTCAGAGTAGCTCTTCAGAAACTCACTTTACAGTGTCAAAGTTTCCAATAAAGGTGCTTTATTTTAAGATTTTTTTTTTTACAAAAAAAGTAGATTTTTTTTTACAAACAGATAAGCAAAAAAAAAACACTTCCCATATATACAGGTATAATCACTATAACATTTTAGCGTATAGCTTTCCAGTCTTTTATCAAAAAATAAATGTAATATTAAGTATATGTATATATCTGTTCCTGTCCCTTTGTAAGGATTGCATTGTGTTGCACCACAGGAAGATGGACAGTTCTCTGTTGCTGGGTATTGTGTCGTCCCTAGCTTTCTGCTGTGCTGAGCAGCACTCTGCTGAATGCCTTTGTGATGCAGCCACAGCCGCTTCTGTAACTGCTGCCAGAGGGGGCGCTCTGTGAAAAGCAGGGTGAAGTTTTTAGGCTTTGGATATATTCTGTCAGATTGTTCCCCAGAAACAAACTAGTTTGCACTCTGCCAGCATGATGTGACCGTGAGTTTCCCTTGCACTATTTCAGTCAGTGTGCAAACTGGAAATTATTTGCCAACCAGATAACAAAATGTTGTATTTGAATTCTAATTTTTTATTTGTGAAATTGAATATTGTTCATATGTTAATTGACCATTCCAATTCTGTGTCTTTTGCCTATTTTTCTAGGATATTCATTTTTTCCTATTGTTTAAAGGTGATTTAACTAATAAGGACTTTGTGTCATGTATATTGCAAAAAATGTTTTTGTTCAGTCTTTAACCTTTTAAAAATTTATTGATTTCAGAGAGAGAGGAAGGGAGGGAGAGAAACATCAATTCGTTGTTCTACTTATTGATGCATTCATTGGTTGATTCTTGTATGTGCCTTTACCAGGGAATTGAACCGGAAACCTTGGCATATTGGGACGCCGCCGGCCGGGGCTTTAATTTTGATTGTAATTTGTTGTTTAGGAGTTTTCCATTTTGTTTAATGAACCTAGCAATATTTCCTTCATGGTTTTGTACCTTGTGTCAAGTGTAATAAAAGCCTTTCTCCACCCCAAAACTGTGTAAACAATCACCTGTTTCTAGTATTTTTGTGGTTTAATTCTTTAAACTTAGTCCTTTAACCCATCAGGAATGCATTTTGCCATTTAGTTTGAAGGTGTGGCTTTTCCCCACTAAGTGAGAAGCCAGTGATTGAATAATAGTGTGCCCTTTGTACTGACTTAAAACCCCTTTCTTATCATAAACTAAATTCTTGAGCCTGTTTTGGTCTTTCTGTTCTACACCATTGCACTGATCTTTCCATTCCTGCTGTTTTATTCTCCTACAGACCCTGTGTTGAAAGTAACTCTAGCAGTGTCTGATCTTCAGAAGTCCTTGAACTACTGGTCTAATCTACTGGGAATGAAAATTTATGAAAAAGAGGAAGAGAAGCAAAGGGCTTTGCTGGGCTATGCTGATAACCAGGTGAGTGACCTTGGAGAGAAATAATCTGTTTCTTTGAGTTCAGTTTATAAATGAGGTTAACATGAAGGTTATTTCCTTAATTTCTTCACAGTGATTTAATATTTACCTAGATAAACAGAATGAGGAACATGAAAATTGCTGTTAACCTCGCCACCTGGGTGTTTGGGGATCTGTCCTTTCAGAGGTGGAATTGCTGAGTCAGAAGAGATGTAGACAGGACTTAATATTGTAATGATAATGTATTTATCTTCTTCTTTTAAAAAATAACCCAACATTCACCCTGGCTGGCATGTCTCAGTGGATTGAGCACCAGCCTGTGAACCAAAGGGTTGCTGGTTCAGTTCCCAGTCAGGGCACATGCCTGGCTTGCAGGCCAGGTCCCTGGTAGGAGACCTGTGAGAGGCAAACACGCGTTGATGTTTCTCTTCCTCTCTTTCTCCTTCCCCTCTCCTCTGTCTAAAAGTAAATAAATAAAATCTTTTTTTAAAAAGCCCAGCACTTGAGCATGATCTAGTCCTTGCGCTTTGACCCAGCAGGTCTATTCCTAGGAATTTATTTTACATGCCCAACATACATGTTCATAGAGAACTGTGTACAGTTATCTGTTGCAGCATTGTTTGTAATAGCAAAATATAAGAAATAATTTAGCCCTGGCTGGTGTGGCTCAGTGGATTGAGTGCTGGCCTGTGAACCAAAAGATCACTGGTTCGATTCCCAGTCAGGGCACATGCCTGGGTTGCAAGCCAGTTCCCAGCAGGGGATGTACCAGAAGCAACTATACATTGATATTTCTCTCCTTCTCTCCTTCCCTTCCCTCCCCTCCCCTCCCCTTCCCTAGTAAATAAAATTTTAAAGTTCTTTTTTATTAAAAATAAATAAATAATCTAATGTCCTATGGATTAGCAGAATAGTTCAATAATCTATGATTTATGCATAGAATCGATTGCTGTGCAGCTATTGAAAAGAATGAGGTAAATCCATGTGCTGATATGGTAACATTAATTAGAGAAAAACAAGGGGCAGAATAATGTGTGAATGATACTGCCATTAGTGTAAAAAGAAAAGATGTTTCCAAGTCCCATGTCTACAAGTAGACACAGGAATCGACGCCTCTGGAGTGAGAGCAGGAGGGAGACCTAGTTTTCACTTTATTCCTTTAGTACTCTTTGAGGTTTTTTAAACCACATAACCTGTCCTAACAAATAGACCAAGCCCTCTTTCTTATTTTTCAGTGTAAGCTGGAGCTACAGGGCATCAACGGTGCAGTTGATCACGCAGCAGCTTTTGGAAGAATTGCCTTTTCTTGCCCCCAAAAGGAGGTAATGTTGGGTACCAGGTCTTTTGTTTAAGTTCTATGACCAGCTAGTTCAACTGCTAAGTACCTTGGGCCTCCCCTTCTTTAGGTTCGTTCTGATCGTGGCTTTGGTATCAAGTTCAACAGTTGTCTCGAGCGGTTGAGATAAAAAAAATCAAACAAGTGGCTCCCGGTTCTTTCTGGTCGAGCGGATATTTCCTCGAGGGCCGATGAGGACTGTGGCCCAAGAGGGTACGTGGCCCCAGCTCACTTTCCCTTTCTGTTTTCCCCAAGTTGCCTGATTTGGAAAGTTTGATGAAAAGGGAGAAGCAAAAGATTCTGACTCCCCTGGTGAGCCTGGATACCCCGGGGAAAGCAACAGTACAAGTGGTCATTCTGGCTGACCCTGTAAGTATGACTGAGGAAGGGGACAGGCTGCACCAGGGCTTTCTTTTGAGGTGTCTTTTTGCCAAGTTTCTTTTGTCTTTTTTGGTGTAGGATGGACATGAAATTTGCTTTGTGGGGGATGAAGCGTTTCGAGAACTTTCTAAGATGGATCCAAAGGGAAGCAAATTGTTGGATGACGTGAGTCTCATTTCTGAATTCATACGACCACAGGTCCAAGGAAGGTGCCGTTAAGTGTGTATGAGAGGGGCCGAAGCAGCAGGGGCCAGTTCTCACTGTCGGAACCATGTCCTTTTGCTTTGGGGGTGAGTTCTGAGTCAGGGACTTGCATCTTTATCGCCACCTATGTGACTCTCCTCTGGGTGCAGCATTTGTGCCCTCGCACCACCGCAGGCTGCCTTGGGGACCCCTGCCGCCGCATGATGACTGTCCTGCTCTTTGAATGGAGGTGCCTGGTGCTGCCCACTTTCAATTCCGAGACGTTCTGGTCATCTCTTCTCCTCCTGCACCATCGTTCTCCTCCCCTCTAGTGAATCGTTCCTTTCTGCTGAATCGTTCTCAAGCTCCGGTGTCTCCGTCTTTGGAAAATCTTTTATTTACCACATATAACTTCTCCAGAGTTCTTTTTTTTTTAATTCTGCCTGTACACTCTTTCTAATTCTCACCTCCCATTCACACTTCAGCCTGTGCTACACCGGCTCCTGTCACTCAGGAAAGTGTGTGTTTTGATCTCGTCAGTGATTTCCATTTTGCCAAAGTCCAGCAACGACTTTTCTGTCCCCTTCCAACTTGGTTCTTCAGCAGTGTCCACGCAGCTGTGCATGGCTCTCCGAGCATCTAACACACACCCGGTGCGCAGTAGGCGCTCCGTGAACACCCTGCTGAGAACTGAAGGCAGGGGTCGGCCTTTCCGCTTCTGTCACTTAATATCTGTGTGACGGACTTCAAGCAATTACTTAAAATCTCCAAACTTAAGTTTTCTTATCTAGAACTTTGAAACAATAAAGACTATCCACCTGAGGGGATTGTGTGGTTTATAGAGCCTGCCAGACTACCTACTGACAAAATAACAGACACTCGGTTAATGTTAGTTAAAGTAGAAGATGTGTAGAATAAAGAGCATTTTTTAATTTTACCATAAAGAAAAATAGAATCTTAGGCAACCTCTCAGTTGGCAAATTTGCTAAATTCTGTCCCTGCTCTCTCACGTCACCATCAGTGCCTCCTCTTCCGAGCTCTGCTCCCCTGGGTTTTAGAGACCCTGCCGTCTGCATGTCTGTCTGACAGACTGTCCGCAGTCACGGGCACTCCCGTGCCGGTGCCACTCGGGCCGTGTGTGACGCTCATTGTGGTACATTCTCTCCTCTGAGCAGACATTCCCCCCTCTGGTTACTTTTGCTCTTCCGCCATCATTGTTTCTCTGGCTTCCTAATTTCTAGTTCCTACTCCTTCTTGAGCTCCCAACAGGTATTTTGTTGTTGTTACTGAGGTAAAAATACACATAGAATTTCAATGTACAGAATTTACTGCTCAATTTGATGAGTTTTGACAGTCACATACACCCATACAACTATGACTCAAAATATAGCATATTTTCATCACTGCGGAAAGTTCTTTTATGCCCATTTCCAGTTAGTGTCCAGCCCCACCTGCCAGCGGTTTTGTCTGTCCTTGGACTTCATGTAGTGGAAGCATCCAGTAGGTATTCTTTTGTGCCTGGCTTTTCTCACTCAGCATTTTTGAGATTCCTCCATGTAATTACATGGAGTTGGTTCTTTTTTTATGTCTGAGTGGTATTCAGTTTTATGAATATAACAATTTTTTTTATTCATTCTTCCAATGGATGTTTGAGTTGTTTCAGATTTTCATGTATTATAAGGAAGACTGCTGTGAGCATTCTTGTGTAAATCTTCTCGTAGACAGACACATCTTTCATTTCTCTTGGACAAATACACAGGAGCGGAATTGCTTTTACTTTGTAAGACACTGCCAAGCAGTCGCCCCAAGTGATTGGACCTTTTGACACTTACCAACCACGTCATATACAGTCAGGGTTCCAGCTGCTTTACATCCTCACCAACATTTGTATTTTTTTGTTGTGGTAGCTATACTAGTACAAGTAAAATGGTTTCTCATTGTAATTTTTTAAAAAGATTTTATTTATTTATTTTTAGAGAGAAGGGAAGGAAGGGAGAGAGGGAGAGAAACGTCAATGTGTGAGAGACACATCAATCAGTGGTCTCTTGCGTGCTTCATCTGGTCAGCATCCCAAGAATGTGCCCTGACTGGGAATCTTGCCAGTGACCTTTGGGTTCGCAGTCCGGTGCTCAATCTACTGAGCCACACCAGCCAGGGCTCTCGAGATTTTAATTTGCATTTTCCTTATGACTAGCGATGTTGAGCACTTTGTCATATGTTCATCGACCATTTGCTTCTCTTCTTTTGTGAATTATGTGGGGTTTCTTTTGTACATTTCTTCACCTAATAGATTTATTTTTACTACTTCATGATTAAAATCCCAAATGTACACACAAGAGAGTACAGCAGATCCCTGTGTGACCGTCACCGGCCAGCTCTGTCCCATAATCTTCTCATCATCCTTTCCCAGCCCACCGTTTTTTGCTGGAGAATTCTAAGACAAGTCTCAGACACTGTGACATTTCATCCCTAAGTACTTAAATATTGTATACATTTTTAAGACAATTTAAAAGAAGTAAACATTAAGAAATTTTCTTATTTTTTTTAAAGATTTTATTTACTTATTTTTAGAGAGAGGGGAAGGGAGGGAGAAAGATAGGGAGAGAAACATCGCTGTGTGGTTGCCTCTCACACACCCCACACCGGGGACCTAGCCCACACCCCAGGCATGGGCCTTGACTGGGAATCGAACCGGTGACCCCATGGTTCATAGGCCGGCACTCAATCCATGGAATTTCCTTATATACCATACTGACATCATCACACTTAAAAAATCAACGGTATGTCTTTAATGTCACCTCAAATCCAGTTCTTATTAAAATTTCCCTGATCCACTAAAAGTAGCTTTATATGGTTGGTTTGCCCTATGTGTTTTTAAATTAGCTTTAATGTAATTGGAGTATATAAATGCAGAACAGTTTATATGATCCATTGAGTTTCGCAACAAACTAGTTGGAAGACACACCTCTGATCTATTTTCATTTTAGCCATTCTTGTCTGTTCTCTAATCTCTGAATATGTCTTGGCTCACATCATTTTCCTAAAGTGTCCCTTCTGTTATTTGAATATTTGCTTAAAAATAAGGCCCCATCAGCCCTGGCTGGTGTAGCTCAGTAGATTGAGCACGGGCCTGCGAACCAAAGTGTTGCTGGTTCGATTCCTAGTCAGGGCACAGGCCTCGGTTGCAGGCCAGGTCCCCAGTGCGGGGCACATGAGAGGGAACCACACGTTGATGTTTCTCTCCCCCTCTTTCTCCTTTCCTTCCCTTCTGTCTAAAAATAAATTAATGAATTTAAAAAATATATATATATATATAACAAAAATAAAGCTCAATCAAATCTATTTAAACATTTTTTAATTATCTTTGTCGATTTGTTGGAGTTTCAGATATGAGTCATTTGATATCATAGAATGCAGGTCCTTTTCTGCTCTGCCTTGCCTATTTTCTTAATAGAGTGTTTTGAAGAGCGGAACATTTTTTAAGTCTTTTGTAAACTTTTTCTTCTATGTTTACTGCTTTCTGTGTCCAGACCAAATTTATAGCTAATGAAACCTCTTCACCATAGATATTTCAAACTCAGTATGTCTGCAACTGAATTTATCTCCCCTCACATCTATTCTTCTTTTAATAATATAAAAATAAAAGCTACTGTTTATTAAGTATCTCCTATGTTCTTGACATGTACCATATTCTTAAGCGCTTTGTGTCTGTTCTGTATTCTCACCAGAGTCTGCAGAGGTGATAGTTCCCTTTCAGATGAGCAAACCGAGGCTCAGGAACATTGTGAGCGTCAGGGCACCGCCTGGCCGGAGCTCTTTCACGCTGTGCGGCCAGTTCGTTTCCCTGCTCTTTCTGCCCTGCTCCCTCCCCCAAACACTGCTGTGTATCTTTTATCCCCATTACTGAAGGGGGAATCCTTAGGGCCAGTTTTCTTACATTTAATATACTTTTCACTTTAGAACAGTTTTAGATATACAAACTGAGCCATTTTTTAATATGGCTATTCTATCAGCTATTGGTCACCAAGAGTGTGAGTTTTGCCTCTGAAATGCCATTTGTCTTCTTCTTCTGAAAACGTCCTTATTATCACCCGCAAAACCGCAGAAGTCTCCTTCCACCATCCAGCCAGTCCCTGCCGCCAGCATGAGCTTTCCAAAGCACGCGCGCTAATTTAAAAAACCTCTTTCCTCTTCTGGTCGCTCCCTGCTGCCTCCAAGGTCCATTCCAAATGCTCTGACAGGGCCTGTCTGGCCGCCCTGTCCTCTGATCAGCGCCCAGCCCAGCTGAGCGAGGTGTTTCTTTTAACCAGGATTTACCTTCTTGCCTCGGCCTGAGGGTTCTTCTTTTCCTCCCTCTTGTTCAACTCATCCTTCAAAACCCGGGAGTTTTCTTGGATACGCCATACCAAAGGTTATTGTTTCCCCCTCTTTTTTAAATTCAGGAATTTCTGCAGGTTTGTGGGATTTTTTTCTGCGTATCTTTGATTTTGAAATACTTTTTATCTTCGTTGAAATCCAGTAGCGCTGAGATTTTACGTACACGCAGTGGCACCACATCTTGCCCCTCACCGGGTCCCACTGCCCTGCGCAGCCATTTTCACCATTGCTGTCTCAAAATAAAAAATGCAGATATTTCTGTTTCTGCATTTTCAGTTGCAGGCAACATCTTGTGACTTCCTGCTGAGGTACATTTTACACTAATTTTACGCTATTTCTCCAACCAGTTAGTTACTCCTTTTCTTTTACGCTGTCACTTTGTTTATCGTTCGTTCCATTGTAGCAAATGGTCCCCTCTGCCATATGCCTTTATGCAGAATAGTTGTTTTCGTATCCAAGTCCTCATCTATTCTGCATGCTCTTCAAAGCCTCAAACTGCGTCCCTACTGCCACAACCCAGACCCTAGTTAATACCCATAGCTCATAATGAAAACTGGCATTTTCCAAGGTATTTCTGTACTTGCTTTTTGACTGAATAAATGCATGTATTTTCCCTATGAAACAGCTATTTAGCATATGCTTGGTTGTATTGGACAGGAAGTTTTAAGAGACTTAGATGCTAAGCCTCCACAAGCCCCGCTCCATGGTCAACCTCAGAACAATAGGATAAAAGGCCCTGGTGGAACCAAAACATGTTGTCACTAACAAGTCTTCCTTTTTAATTAACTGACCCAAAATGAGCCAAATAATACCAACATCAGTGAAATGGCGTGGGAAGAAGTATAGAAAAAGGAAATCGGTCTAGGCTCAACAGCTAAAATGTCAGAATAGCTTTTCACCTTTGTCCTCATCATTAGGCTGCGTCTCGGGAGCACGTTCTGCTCTCTGCCAAGCACTCCGCAGCCTGGTGGGCTCCGTCCTCGCTCTGCAGTCAGCCAGCCTCACTCCCTGGCTGCAGGCCCTCGACTCCACAGACAATGCTCAGTGCTCACCAGCAGCCTCTGTCAAAGTAAACATAATGCTCCACACTGAATGAACACATTTCATTGGTTCATTTCTTGATTATAAACGATGCAATGAAGTACAAAGCGAACTATACGTTTTACTTTATGGACTTAGAATGTATATCCCAATTCTGTTTCTGTAGGCAATGGCAGCAGATAAAAGCGATGAGTGGTTTGCTAAACAAAATAAACCAAAGGCTTCAGGCTAACAGAAGACATCCTGGGAAGAAGGATGGTGATTCCTTCCCAGCACCTGGGGGCTTTGATGCGTCTGTCCATTCATGATAAATACTCTCCCAGCTTGGTTGCTCCCTGTATAGACAAGGAAGCTGGGGGCGGGGGACAAATTATGTGTGTTAATCTTTGAAAGATCTGATATGTTTTAGGTATAAAATTCTTTTATTGTTAATCCAGTTAGAGAACTCTTGCTGTAACCTGTACCGCCACTGGAATGATACAATCTGTGTGTAACTGTATTAGATTAGTAATAAATTCTTTTCCAGCCTGGGGCAGCCACATGGGACATTACCTTTGGTTGGGATGGAAGGAATTTCATAAGCATGTGCATTTTATGAGAACACCTGTTCAAATAAATCCAAACCGGTTGCTTATAAAGGAATACTCCAGCATCTGATGATAGTGTGGTATTCCAATGTCCCACTCCGGCAGGCCTTGACATTTAAACATGTTTTAAACATTTATTCCTTGAACCAAAAGATTTGGTTAACACCCCCACATTCCTTGCTTTAACACTTTGAGAAGCCATAGGAGATAGACAGAAAGCTGTGATGTGTTGTGTTGCTGCATGCCTGGCTCTGTGCAGGTCTCCTTATGTAATTTTTAAAAATATTCATAAGAAGAAGGGGGTGGGCTGGGATGGGGGTAAAAGGCAGAAAACTGTACTTAAACAACAGTTAAAAATTTTTTTTAATTTGGAAAAGTAAAAAAAAATATTCATAAGAAAACATGTTAAATTTCTTAAAAATGCATTGGGTGATTTATTTAACCTAAAAAAATTTTTAATGTTTTTCTGTAATCTTCTGTTTGGTTCTATAGAACAGATAAATTTTAATCACTGGAAACAATTATATTGGGCATATTTATTATTAAATAAATGTTTTTTGAAATGTACTTCTGAACTCAAGCTCTTCCTACCAACCCGTAAGAGTCATTATGTAAAGTGGCAGGGCAGGTCAGATTTTAGGGAAGAAATTGAGGAGACAGGATGGGACCCACCCAGAGGATACCAGTCCCAGAATAATAGGCATCAAGTTACTTGTAAATCACAGCCTCTGCTCTTCTCCCCTGATGGCAAGGTGGGGTGTGGAAATTTCAGGGTGAATGTCAGCTTACCTGCCGGTAGGGTGATCTGAACCTTCACTGAGAGAAAAAATCCATTTCTTGCTTCATAGAACTTTTCATTCAACTTAAATTCTCCATCTTAAGGAAGCAATCATGAGTTTAAAAGCAAACCAAGTTATCTATGTTCTTGCTCCAGATAAGTGGCTCACTTTTCTACACATGGGGAAATTATTGTATGAATTTTGAATAATCAAATAAACTTCTGTGTCTCTAGATGATGACTTATTCTCATTTATTAGGTAAGGTAATTCTTGATGTTTAGTAATACTGTTCTCGTGAGAAAAAAGCTACTTTCCCAGTGTATTAGGCTGCTGTGATGTGGCCTTTTAAGTTTGTTACGGTACAACGTGTGGTTCCTGTAAGTACTGAATGACTAAACACATGCTGGATCCCTCTTTATCTGCTTATCTTGTATTTTAACACATCTGAATATTGTCTCATAAATGTACAGTTATGCCTGCTAGAAGTTAGTGCTGTTCGGGACACAGACACTGACTAGGACATTTTGGCTTTATGGTATCAGCCCCCTTTTATTTACCTCATTGCCTGTCATCTTTTCCTGTGTTCTAATCTTTAATATTTTATTCATCCTAAAACCCTTTAGTGTCCAACTTTGGCCTTCTATCATGGAATCCAAACATTTTCCTCCGCACATTGCAGCTAGTAATTTTAAACCAAAGGTTGTGATTACCTTCCCACCTCTGGAGATGGTGTTATCAACCAGAAAACAAAGGTATAAGAAACATGGCTTTGCCCGAGCCCAAGATGAAGTTGGAGAGTTCTGTTTCTCCAGATTTATGTTGTTTTCACAGTAGTTATTTTGTTTTTTCACTTGAGTAGTGTAGAGTCCCAGATAAGTTCAAATACACCACGGGTATAAATCCAGAAAGGTTTAGAATGACTGTGTTGCAAGAGGTCTCCCAGATCAGCCTAGAAAGTTAGTACGAAATCCCCCTTTGCCAGACATCCTTGTGGAATTAGCAAAGCCACGGAGGTTCGGTTTGCCTTTACGTCACTTTGTGCCGCCCTCACCTCCCCACACAGCACCCTTGTGGTTTGGCAGAGTTTTCAGGAAGGCTCCACCTTGCCCAACAGGAGACCACCATGAGGTAAGAGAGGGAGATTCCAGTTTGGTCTGAGATTTATTACCTTTATTCTATAGGAAGTTTACTTTGGCTTCAGCATTCAATGAGGAAGCGCCCTTGCTTCAGACCTCTTTGTAAGTTAACAGAGTCAATGGTTCAAAAACCAAAACCGTAAAAGGTATGCACTGAAAAGTCTTGCTCCTACCCGACCCGTCAGTCCCACTGCTTCCAACTTTTTAAGCATTATGTATATCTATTCATATTTTCTCCCTTTCCTGCACTAAGTTTAGCACATTATGTAGACTATACCTTGTTTTAAAAAATAATGTATAAGGGACTTCCGGCCAAGATGGAGGCATAGGTGGAAACACTGTACCTCCTCACACAACCAAATTTAAGGACAACAAAGATTTAAAAACAAAAACACAACCAAGACAGACAGAAAAGTGAACTGTACTGAAGTCTGACAGCAACAAACCATTCATCCAGACCAATAAGAGGGGCGGAGTTGGTGGCAGGCAGAGTGGGGTCCCAGCAGGAGGAGGCGGTGGTTAGCGGACAAGTGTGGGATGAAAACCTAGTAAGGCTCGCAAGGCGGCTGGCTGACTGCGGACACACATTCAAGTGCAGGTAAACCAGGCAAAGGAGTGAGCAATGAGACAGACCGAGCAACCCAGGGCCCCAGCACCGGGAAATAACGCCTAAAAACACCGACTGAAAAAACGTTTGGGAGTTGAGGTGCCGGGAGAGGCTCCCAACCTCACAGGAGAGTTTGTTGGAGACACCCACAGGGTCCTAGAGCGAACACAAGCCCACCCACCCAGGAACCAGCACCAGAAGGGCCCAATCTGCTTGTGGGAAGTGGCAGGACTGAAATCCGAGAGAGTGGAGAAAATGCCATTATTCCCTCTCTGACCCGGCTCCCAGTCACAACCCAGTGATTGGGTTGCCCCACCCTGATGAACACATAAGCCTCCACCCCTCCTACATAACAGGGGTGAACAGACCAAAACATTATGGCTCAAGCAAAAGAACAGCTCAAAGCCCCAGAGCCAATACTTCTAAGCGACCAAGAGATAGCCAACCTATCAGATGCATAGTTCAAAACACTGGTGATCAGGATGCTCACAGAACTGGTTGATTTTAGTCACAAATTAGAGGAACATATGAAGGTTAAACTAAGTGCAATGAAGCAAAATACACAGGGAACCAATAGTGATGGGAAGGAAACTGGGACTCAAATCAATGGAGTGGACCAGAAGGAAGAAAGAAATGACCAAACAGAAAAGGATGAAGAAACAAGAATTTAGAAAAATGAGGAGAGGCTTAGGAACCTCCATCTTTAAAACGTTCCAACATCCGAATTATAGGGGTTCCAGAAGGGGAAGAGGAAGAGCAACAAGAGGAAAACTTATTTGAACAAATAATAAAGGAGAATTTCCCAAACTGGCAAAGGAAATAGACCTCCAGGAAATCCAGGAAGCTCAGAGAGTCCCAAAGAAGTTGGACCCAAGAAGGAACACACCAAGGCACATGATCATTACATTAGCCAAGATTAAAATGAAGGAGAGAATCCTAGAAGCAGCAAGAGACAAGGAGACAGTCACCTACAAAGGAGTACCCATCAGACTGTCAGCAGATTTCTCAAAAGAGACCTTACAGGCAAGAAGGGGCTGGAAAGATGTATTCCAAGTCATGAAAGGCAAGAACCCACATCTAAGATTGCTCTATCTAGCAAAGCTTTCTTTTAGAATGGGAGAGCAGATAAAGTGCTTCTCAGATAAGGTCAAGTTCAAGGTTCATCATCACCAAGCCCTTATATGAAATGTTAAAGGGACTTATCTAAGAAAAAGAAGATAAAAAATATGAACAGTGAAAGGACAGCAAACAGTTATTAATAACTCACAGTTATTAACAACCACACCTAAAACAAAAGCAAATTAAGAGGACAGCTAGATCAGGAGTGGAACCATAGAAATGAAGATCACATGGAGGGTTAGCAACAGGGGAGTAGGAGGAGGAGAAGGGGGGAGAAGGTACAGAGAATAAATAGCATAGACAGTGGGGAGAAAATAGACAGGGAGGGCAAGAGTAGTATGGGAAATGTAGAAGCTAAAGAACTTTAAGACTCATGGACCTGAACTAAAGGAGAGGAATATAGGGGGGAGGGGGTGTGCAGAGTGGAGGGGAATAAAGGGGGGGGAAATGGGACAACTATAATGGCATAATCAATAAAATATATTTTTTAAAAATACTGTATCAGGAACAAGTATGAAGGACACATGAACAAAAACTAGGGAGGGCACGGAAATAGGGAGGTGGGGAGGGCTGGGGCAGTGGGCTGGGATGGTAGTAAAAGACTACTTGAACAACAATTAAAATTAGAAAAAATAATTGCTTACAGTTGCTTCTGCAGTCCTAATTATGGTACATTTTTACTCTATCAGATTTTACAGTGATTTAAAGAATGTTCCATTATTATTACTATTTTTAATTTTCTTAAAGATTTTATTTATTTTAAAGAGAAGGGAAGGGAGGAAGAGGGGGAGAGAAACATCAATGGTGTGGTTGCCTCTATGCGCCCCCTACTGGGGACCCTGCCTGCAGCTGTGCCCTGACTGGTAATCAACCCCGCAACCCTTTGATTCGCAGGCTGGCACTCAATCCACTGAGCCACATCAGCCAGACATTTAATGCAAGTCGTGGTTTTAAAAGCATCAAAATGTGTACCCTTGAAAGAAGAGAACAATACAACTTTTGTACTGTGTGGCCCTTGCCCAGTTTATTGTTCCACGGAATAGTTCTTCAGTCACTGAGTGTCCTGGGTATACTTCATTCTAAGTAATGTGCTTAGTCTACAGTAACTTCCTACAAATATATTAACAGAAGATCTCAAAGATACCCAGTGAGGTCTGATTTCCTTTGACTTTCCTCTGAAGTATTTATGGTTATTGCTTTTGTTGTTTAATGGTCCTTCGTGAGCTGGAGCTAACCTGATGTCATGATTTACGCAAAGTTTTTTTGTTTTTTAAGAGAAAAAACGACCGAAAAAAACCCCCCCCCCCCCCCCAACCACAGTTTCGCCCCCCCCCCCACACCCCCCGGGGCAAAACAGTTTTTAGTTGAGGGAAAGTATGGGGAGGTTCCGTGCCACCGCAGACCTGTTGCTCTGAAATGTCTCTCCTGATGTCACTGAGCACTGCATATTGCTACCTGCGTGACAATCAGTACTGAGTTGCTACCCGCATGACAGTCAGTACTAAGGGGTAGAAGCCAAGCTCAGACACTTGGCCTCGCATGGGTCAGGGTTTGCTGGGTCCTAAACCGAACCCCATATACATGCATGTACCTACTGTCCCACAAACACCCCCAGGTAGAAACCAGGGTTAGCTATGCAGTAGTCCCAAGAAAATTTGGGTTGCTGGGCCTTAGATGAGAGTTTCAGAGATGGGATTTTGAAACCATCTGCTCCAGTGTTTCTCCGCTGCTGTGTTGTAACGGGGTGCTGAGCTGCAGGTCCCCCAAATCCCCAAACCTCCCCATTGCTATCATTTGGGGGATAAGACAAGGAAAGGAAGGCCAGCTACTTTGCATATCTGAAGGACTTGGCCAATGTTTGTGACATTAAAAAGCCGTGCCTGCCCTTGGAGGAGAGAGAGAGAGAGAGAGGACTCTAACCTGCGTGATGCGATGTAGCCTGAGGGGCTTCCCGCACCAGCCAAAGCGGCTTGGAGGCGGCTGCTAGGTCTCCGGGCCAGGCTTGCCAGGAATAACCAGCAGCAGAGAAAGGCAGAAGAAGCCAGACTGCTGGCTGGTGTAAACCAGTGTCGGAGGAGTTGGAAATGGGGTTATGGAGGAAGATGTGCACAGGGATTTAAATCCAGGGGCAGCAGCCGTTCTGGGGCTTTTACTACGCTGTTGGGAGCAGGAGGGAGGCAGCTCTCTTGACCACCTTGAGGACGCGGCTTTGGATTAAGAACAGGAGCCTAGCCAAACTGCGGACTTCTGTTTCTTTTCCTGAGCTATGGTACCCTTGACTGGCCTGGTTTGGAAAGGGATTCAAGACTGTGTGTGCGGGAGCGGGGGGGGGGGGGGGGGGGGGGTGCGGTTAAAGGCACTTTAGGATTTAACTTCGACAATCTGCCATTACTCTGAACCTGTATAACTTTTGAATAAATAGTTCCTTTCCTTTCTTTTTTAAACCAAACTCTGGCATTGAGAGCCAGAGTTCTTAACACAGCGGTGGGCAAAAAGAACCATAAAGTAACAAGACCTCCAGGGGCAGGGGCGGAGGGAGGGGTTTCCCTAACATTGTGATGCATCAATTACCTCACTAAAAGTAACTTTATCACTCAAAACATTAACTTCATCAGGCCCGTGTTCCAGTAGGGGATTTTGGTAGTCATGCTTGACTTGATCTTTCTGGAAGACAGAGTCCTTTTCCCCTCCCTAATGTTGGGTTAGTGGTGAATGGAAGCCCCTGAGGAGATGAGGGTCCTCAGCCTGCTCTCCCCCCCTCCCCGGGAAGCGCAGCCTCTTCAGTGACCTCAAAAGTTGGGCATTTTCCGAGCATGGTTCTCTCCCCTCTCCTCTACTCCAGCCAAATATCTGCATATGACCTGAGAACAGGAAGGCTGGGAACACAGAATCAAACTGAAAGCCAGTTTTGATGGAACTTTCCCTAGAGGAGAGATGCTTTTTACACATTTATCAAGTGTATAAAAATACAGCTCCCCAGGATTCTCATGGTCACTTTGAGTTTGCTTTTCCAACAGCAGACACACACTTTCATGCAGTTAAAGTAATTTATTGATGTCTCAGCCATGGTCGCTACGGTTTCCAGACATTTCAGCCAGCAAGATCTTTTATGAAGCCCATTTCACTTCCCTACCAGAGGAGCTGTGCTATTGTATTTCATCCTGTTTGACATTTTGTCCCCCTTAACAAGTCTCCTTTTTCCTCAGTTCTTCCACTTTAGCAATGTAGACCCTCATGGCGTCCATCTTGGACATCCCTTTTTTCTTGTTCCACGCCTCCCACTTGGCCTTGGCTTTCACATCTGTGGCAGGCGGGGCAGGGATGTTGCAGTCGCCCTTGGTGGCTTGTTTGTAGAAGCTATACACCAACAGCTTCTCCTGATCACTCACAGGTCCCTTCAACTGCTTTATAGCAGCGCAAGCCAGCTCGAACTCCACTTGGCCCATTGCGGGAACTGAGGCTGGGCCCTTCTGTCTCTTCTGGTGGTACCTGGCGCTAGAAACTGGAGGGTGGCAAGTTAGAAAACTCTCGAGACTGGTGATTAAGTCTGGGTAGAAGGGAAAGGGAGAAAAGGAGACAGGGTAATATGTGGGAAGAACACGGAATATTTGTGTGTTCTCAGTGAGAAATAAAATGTTTTTATAAAGTACACATTGCAAACTGGGGCCCACTGGAGCGGATCTCCCCCAACAGTGGTCGGCTCTGGCTCGCACAGCGCATTTTCTGGAGAGGACAACCCATTTCTGGAGAGACACATTTCAAAGGAGTCTGTGATAACAGAAGATTAAGGAGCTGCTACAGCTGTGGTCTGAAGGCGGAGCCCTGGGGGCGATTAGATTAAGGGGCTGTGGTGCCCGGTGGTCTGGGTGAGATTGGGAAGCCCGCTGCGGGGAGGAAGCCTGTCATTACAGAGGCGCACAGCTGAGCTGGTTAGTTGGCACCCTAGCGATGGACGTTCAGTGTGGGGTTACTGGGTGGCGCAGAATGGGGGGTCAGGGACCCACTGGGGTCCAGAAGCAAGGCTGGAGAGGAAACTAAAGAAGGGTGGCTGAGCGGAAATGGAGAGGCGGAGGGGCCAGGGGCCAGATCCGTGGAGGGGGAGGGGAGGAGCCCTCAGCGGCCAGAGGGCAAAGTGGGTACTGGCCTGTTGGCGGATTGCAGACCTAGGGCCGATAGGAGGCGCTGTGGGTTTGGCGGCCTCGACGCGGCGAGTTCGTAGGTGAGGACCGCGCGTGCGCGCGGAGCCGAGGCCGCCGGCCGCTGAACCGCGCAGAGCCGAGCTGAGACTGGGGCCGGGGACTGAGGCGCGGCCTATTGTCCCGCCCGCCTGGGACCGCCCATTGTGCCGTCGTACTTGCGCAGTACTCGCCGCCGTGCGGGGGAGGGGCGGTCCGCGCTGCTGCCCGCGACGCCGCCATGGACCTAGGTGGGTGTCCGGGACCCCCTCCCCTGAGCCCACCTGAGCTGGGTCCCGCAACGGGAGACCAGGGCGTTGCGGAGTGGGCCTGGGCTAAGGGAAATCTTTGGGTGGGGGGAGGCATTTTGGAGAGTTGGGGTATCTTTGGAGACCAGGGGTTGTGAGACCCGGGTCTAGCTCCTTGGCTTGTCTCTTCCCCCTCGGGCCCTTTCCACGTGAAGGGCCAGACGGGTGAGAAGTTAGATTTCCTGACAGTGCACAGGGTTCGTGCACGTGCTTTAGAAAATGCCGGGCTTAGAGGATGCCCGGAGGAATCCCGGATGCCTGACAGTCTCATTTGTTGAATGTCTGATAAGTTCTTGAGCAAATGACTTAGGTTCATTGATAAAACGGATGTGATAATGTATCCACTTCAGAGTTTGGCGAGTTTTCATTGAGATCACGTGTATACAGTGCCCTGTTCAGTGCCTTGCACGCAGCCAACGTTCATCAGACTAGCGGTTGTGGGGAGCTGTTGTGGCAGCTAAGATGGCACGTGCACCTTCTTCAGAGTCCTCAGAGGCAAAGTTTGGAAGAAGGGAGGGAGGAACTGGTATAAATCGGTGGCTTCTTGCCCAGCCGCTTTACTCTTCTAGACAGGCTCCTGAGAGGATAAGACCAGGAGCCTGCTCTGGGAGAGCTGGAGTCAGGCATCCCAAGGTGTGCCAGTAATACTAGGCTGTGGAGAAAAGTCCTGGTCCCTGGCCCCAGCCAGCTCTTCAGCAGTGGACTGCAAAGAAGAGTTTGGAGCCCTACTACACCTGTGGGGTGATTTCTGCCCAACACCTTTGTAGCTGCAACATCCTGAGCAACTTGTTTCTGAGTCTCAGTGTTCTCTTCTATAAAAACAGGAAAAATAGAGTCCTCAAAAGGTCGGTTTGAAGATTTAGAGAGATCTTACATCCGTACCACCATGTACAGAGTGCCTGGCCCAGAGCAACAGTCAGTACGAAGGAGTGGGCACTCACAAGCACTGGTTAACCAGTAGTGATAAAACACTTGGGTAGTTTTCCGGCTATTAATAAATGCTCCTGGGGCTTTTTCCTGTAAGTGGCACATATATTTACTTAGTGTTTCTGGAAAGTAGTTGTTGGGGGCCAGACACCTCAGCTGAGCTGACAGCACAATAAAATTAAATTCACAGTCATGGGGAACCTATTTTGGTGCCCCGGAGAGTAGCCCGAGCCAGAAAGGAGGTCCAGAAGCCGCAGACGGCTTCAGCAACCCCAACCCTCCTTGGGAGGCAGCCTTGGCCACTGGGAGCCAAGGTGGCCTTCACCAGTGGGCTGCACAGAAGCGCTGATCCTTGGCCTTTTGCTGCTCCCATAAATGGTGGGGGGAGCAGGATAGTCTTTAATCTGCTAGAATCAGAGATCTCTGGGTTGAGTCTTGGCCTGGGACGATGGGTTCTTGGGGATACGATGGACTGAGAGGAGTCAGGAGTACGGAATGGTGCGCAGTGTCTGTGCTCTGGTGTAGTCTTGGGGCCGGTGGAAACACCTGTGAGGAAGATGTCCATCTGTTCATGTTTCTGAGTTCAGGAAGGACAAGAAGGATGGCAAGATTCTGATCCTGTCAGCAATCGAAAGATTTAGGAAACATCTTAGTGCTCACCATTTATTGAGCACTTCATCAGGTTCTTTGTATCCTGATTCTTAGTGTAGCTGTGTCTTATTTAACACTCACCATCCCTGGAAGGTGGAGTCAGGAGCTAGCAGCACCAACCCAGTGCCAAGGGCTTGACTAGGGTGTATCATTTGATCCTCGTAGTCATTATATGAAGTTTGTGTTATCCCCACACATGCGGAAGGGAGGCTCAGAGATGTCATCTGCCCACGATCACACTGCTTTTAAAGGCTGAGTAAACTCATGTCCCATTAAAAATCCCAAGACCTTCCTTGGTAAGTCTCTGAGTTCATGGCTCACTGAAGGAAGGACTTTTCTTTCTTAATGTAGTGCATTCTTTTTTCAGTATATCACTTGGCTTCTATCAGAGAACCAGGGACATGAGTTAACTCTTTTCGATAGAAGAAGCCATGGGGTGAATTGTTTCCCTGGAAGGCAGGACAGTTGAAAGCTGTTTGCAGGACAAGGCTGTAAGAGACAAGGTGGGGGACTAGGGTTTGTCTGATTGCTTCTGTGGGCACAGCTCAGTTTCATGTCCTGCAACATGTATCTGGTGGCCCCTGTAGTTTGATACTACTGCCCTTGTGCTCTCTAAACCCTTCTTCCCCACACCCTCTGCTGGCCTGGCTGTCTTTTGCTTGGCGGGGGCGGGGAGGGGGGGATCCTAGCATCTGTAGTCCAGCTTTTCCTGTAGGGATCTCATTCTCTCCATTGGTTCCATTGATCCCCTCTGGCTTTCCTCCTGAGCTTCAACATGCATTTCCATTGGTGGAGGGCATCTCTCCCTTACTGTTATACCTCCAACTCCAAATAACCAAAACTTAACAGTGTTCCCTCCGAATCTGAGTTTCCTGTGTTCCCTGTTCCCAGTGGCGTCTGTTGTCTTTCCAGTTTCCACCTAGAAAGTCTGGGGGTCCTTTTTTATTCCTCAGGTAATTCCTTTTGACTCCGGCTCTGCAGGGACTCCTGGAGCCACCACTTTCTTCCCCCTCTCCCACTGAGCCTGCTTAGAACTCATCTCTAACCTCGATCGTGACAGCCAGCTTACTAACTGCTGTCTCTTCTTCTAACCTCTGCTTACTGTTTGGAAAAATTTCCCCACACTCTGTCTCACTGAGCTTCTCTCTGTGCAGGACCCTTGAATATCTGTGAAGAAATGGCTATTTTGCATGGGGGCTTTTTGCTGGCCGAGCAGCTGTTCCGTCCCAAAGCGCTGGCAGAATTGACAAAGTCTGACTGGGAGCGTGTTGGGCGGCCCATCGTGGAGGCCTTGCGGGAGATCTCCTCTGCCACGGCGTGCTCCCAGCCCCTGGCCTGGAGGAGGAAAGCTCTGGTTATCATCTGGGCCAAGGTTCTTCAGCCCTTCCCCGTCTCCCCTTCTGACACTGAAACTCGGTGGCAGGAAGATGTGTTCTTCTCAGTAGGCAACATGATCCCTACCATTAATCACACAGTCCTTTTTGAGTTGCTCAAGTCCCTGGAAGCTTCTGGACTCTTTATCCAGCTCCTGATGGCCCTCCCCACCACCATCTGCCGTGCAGAACTGGAGCACTTTTTGGAGCACATGGCTGTTGACACTTCTTCAAAGGATGTGGCCTTCTTCCTTGATGTCTGGTGGGAAATGATGAAGCACAAGGGCAATCAGCAGGACCCCCTGCTCTCCCAGTTTAGGGCAATGGCCCATAAGTACTTGTCCTCCTCAGATGAGTTCTCCCACCCTCCAAAGAGGTTTAAGTCAGACCCAGATGTGTGTCCCACCATGCCCCTGTTGGCCATGCTGCTCGGTGGGCTGAAGCAAATTCAAAACAGAATCCTGTGCCCTGGGATGAAGTGCTGCACGTTAGCCAACTTGGCTGACATGCTGACTGTGTTTGCACTCATGGAGGATGACCCTCAGGAAGTGTCTGCGACTGTGTACCTAGACAAACTGGCCACGGTGATCTCCGTGTGGAATTCGGACACCCAGAACCCGTATCACCAACAGGCACTGGCAGAGAAGGTAAAGGAGGCAGAACGGGACATCAACCTGAGCTCTCTGGCCAGGCTCCCGAATGAAACTGTTTTCGTCGGGTTCGAGTTCATGCGCAGCCTGCTACGAGAGTGGGGGGAGGAGCTGCAGGCCATGCTTAGCAGTTCCCAGGGGACAAATTATGACAGCTACCGGCTGTGTGACAGTCTGACTTCCTTCAGCCAGAACTTGAAGGTCTACCTGGACACCGCCAGCTTGGCCAAGGAGGAAAGGCAGGTGGTCTCTGAAGTGGCAGAGTGCGTTGGGGATTTCCTGAGGAAGACGAACACGGTACTAAACAAGGGCATGGAGAAGGACATCACCGCCTCGATTGCCATGGCCATTATTGAGCAGAAGATGGATCGGCACATGGAAATGTGTTACATTTTTGCTTCCGAGAAGAAGTGGGCCTTCTCGGATGAGTGGCTGGCCTGCCTGGTTGGTAACCAGGCCCTCTTCCGAGAGCCAGATTTGGTGTTAAAGCTACTGGAAACAGTGGCAGAAGTCAGCACGACAGACAGAGCCATCTCCAAATCTCGGATCAAACAAGTGGTCAACTTGATCCTAGAATGTTATGCAGACCTGTCCCTGCCAGACAAAAATAAAGTCCTCTCAGGTGTCCTGGTTTTCTGGGGGCGAAGGGGCCTCTCCGAGAAGTTGTTGGCTTACTTGGAAGGATTTCAGGAAGACCTCAACACGACTTTTAACCAGCTCACTCAGAGCACTTCTGAACAGGGCTTGGCTAAAGCTGTAGGGTCTGTGGCCCGCCTGGTGCTACTGCACCCAGAGACCACGGTGAAGAAAATGTGCAGCATGGCCGTGGTCAATCTCGGCGCCCACAGATTCCTGGCTCAGATTCTCACCGCCTTCCCCGCTCTCAGGTTCACAGAAGAGCAGGGTCCAGATCCATCCACCACTTTCGTGGTGTCATGCCTCAAAGAAACCGTCTGGACCAAGTTCTCTACACCCAAGGAAGAAAAGCAGTTTTTGGAGCTCCTGCAATGCCTGATGAGGCCCGTGAAGCCCCAGGGGATTCCGGTCGCTGCTCTTCTTGAGCCAGATGAGGTGCTGAGGGAATTCGTCCTGCCTTTCTTGATGCCCGATGCGGAAGAGGTGGACCTCAGTCTGAAGATCTTCGTCCAGACTCTGGAAGCAAATGCCTGCTTAGAGGAGTACTGGCTCCAGACCTGCTCTCCGTTCCCCCTCATCTTCAGCTTGTGCCAGCTCCTGGACTGCTTCAGCAAGTACTGGCAGCTCCCCAAGGAGAAGCGGCGCCTCTCTCTGGATGGGAAGGATCTGGTGATCCACGTCCTGGAGCTCCTCTGTGAGATCGTATCAGCTAATGCTGAAACCTTCTCCCCAGACACCTGGATCAAATCCCTGTCCTGGCTTCACCGGAAGTTGGAGCAGCTAGACTGGACCGTGGGCCTGAGACTGAAGAAATTCTTTGAGGGCCACTTCAAGTGTGAGGTGCCAGCCACACTCTTTGAGATCTGTAAGCTTTCTGAGGATGAGTGGACCTCCCAGGCCCACCCTGGGTATGGGCCAGGCACAGGGCTCCTGGCCTGGATGGAGTGCTGCTGCACCTCCAAAAGCGTCTCTGAGCAGATGCTCTCCCTCCTGGTGGTGGCTGTGGGCAACCCCGAGGAGGTCAGGTTGTTCAGCAAGGGCTTTCTGATAGCCCTGGTACAAGTCATGCCTTGGTGCAGCACGCAGGAATGGCAGTGCCTTTTTCAGCTGACCAGGAGACTGCTGGAGAAACAGCTCCTGCATGTCCCCTACAGCTTGGAATATATCCAGTTTGTTCCTCTGCTCAACCTGAAGCCCTTGGCCCAGGAGCTCCAGCTCTCTGTACTCCTCCTGAGAACTTTCCAGTTTCTCTGCAGCCAGAGTTGTCGGAATTGGCTTCCTATGGAAGGTTGGAGCCACGTGGTCAGACTTCTGTGCAGCAGTCTGACCAGCCTCCTGGACTCGGTTAGGTTGATACAGTCCGTTGGCCCGTGGGCCCAAGGACAAGAACAGGACCTGACCCAGGAAGTCCTGTTTTTTTATACCCAGGTATTTTGTCATACTCTGCACATCATGGCCATGCTCTGCCAGGAGGTGTGTGAGCCGCTGTATGTTCTGGCCTTGGAAATCCTCACCTGCTACGAAACCCTGAGCAAGACCAACCCTTCTGTTAGCGCCTTGCTCCAGAAGGTGAATGAGCAGCACTTCCTGAAGTCCATTGCCAAGAACATTAGCCCCGAGGAGCGGCGCCAAACCCTGCTGCAGAAGATCAGCAACTTCTGATCTTCCTAGATCATTGAATAGCTGGGCCTTCACTGGGTGGGGTCTATAGCGGCTAGAGCCGAGAAACACACTTTTCAGGTATGTGAAGTTGTACACAAGCTAAGACGTTTTATGGCAATAATGGTGTAAAGAAAATTGTTTCTTAGGTATTTATAACATACAAATGATAATAAAATTCTCATTTTGAGTTTCGTCTTGTCTCCTGAGTCATCAATAGTCTAGGCTGAGATACACTGAAATTGGACTCAGCTAGAGTCTTAAAGATCAAATCAAGCCGGGAGGAACTGTTTGTAACTGGGCTTCTCTACCCTGAAATTTACTAAGTTCAAAGGTGAAACCACCCAAGTGGAAAAATGATAAGGTATGTGTTTTTTTGCACTGGAACCCTCTTCAGAAGTCATTTTGCGGTCTTTTGGAAAGGGCAGCAATTAGGAAAAGAACTGTTCTGCCACCGGTTAGCCATGTGATTTGTATGCCTGAAAGGCCTGTACCACACTGTGAGAGTGGAAAAGGAGAGGGCGGGACCAAGAAAACTTGGTGTTGGGGGTAGGTTAAGGACCTCAAAAATGGGTGGCTTCTGAACTGAGGACTTCTGCTATAACTCCAGCCATTCAGGGGACCCAGAGGAGCTGTGCCAAAACTGGGTCTGGGAAGCAAGCAGAGATGTGCTCAAAGGGTGAGTGTAATTATCCTCTGCCCAGAGCAGCTGTCATGGTTCTGAAGAATGAGTGGGAGCAGGAGCAGGGGATGGTGTCTGCAGACACACAAAAATGCAAATTGAAGGTGTCAGAGCTATGCGCATTGGTTGGTGAGGCGTTTAATTTGGGAGGCAAGGTCAGGAAAAGGATGTACTCTAGCACCTCCTTTATACCCACGCCCTCACTTACAGTGGGCTGGCTCTGGGGCCGACAGTGGGATTTCCGCCCTCCTAGTTCCTACTTGGGACTCACCTACGAAGAGAAAAAAGGGCCTGAAGTTACATGAGCGCTGGTATCGAACTCTAGGACCCTGCAGTGTGTTGGAATTGTGAATCACAGAAACGGTGTTAGAGTGAGGTATGAGGTGAGCCCTCGTGGAGGCTGAAAGCATTAAATATCCCCCTCCCCTGAAACCCCACCTTGGCCAGTTACATGGGCATGAACACAGGCCAGAAGCAACACCACCCAGTCACCAGTCCAAGTCAGGTCACGGGAGGGGTCTTACAGGAAGTAAGTATTGATGTATTGCGTTTCACAAGTAAGAGTAAGTTGGGAAATATTAGTGCAATTTAATCACCATAGGGGTGATTTATACAAGACACTCTGACAGTGAACAAAGTATTTAGCATTTTTTAAATGGTACCTATTAAAGACAGAAATATTCAAAATTTGAGGCACTGTTATATATTCATTACTTTAAAAGTTTATTGACAACAATGAATTAAAAGGCACTTTTAAAAATTTAGCTTGTCACTACCATTTGGTAGCAGTTTCTAAACCCTCCTGGGTTGGTAAGGAGCGACTGACTGGCACCAGGGAACCCCCGTTTGTGGTGGCGGCGAAGGGGTCGCCCACAGGAGTACGTTGACCAGGGCTGTCCTGCTGTCTTGCTCTCCAGCCTCCTGTGGCTGAACGGTGGCACACTCACATAGGAACAGGCTTTGGACCCCAAGCTCCGGGTTATCGGGAGGCAGTCTAGATGTGACTTCTCGTGGTTTGGAATGTTGAAGTCCATTTCTACTTCACATGAAAAGGACAGCTTTGAAGAGTGGGGTTACCCAGTAAGCAGCTCAGTAGCCATCTTTCCACAAGCACCCTGCGTGTGTGCACACTGGGAAAGCTGGGCTTGAAAAGGGATAGTATTTGTGCCTGTTCACAACAAACTCCCCAAGTCTGACACTGGTCTTACGGAGTCAGCCTGCAAAGATGCTGACCTATAGCGTCCCTACCTACTCAAGTGCTTCAGGTTCCCATCTCTGTCTCCACCTGCCCCCTCCCCCTATTAATGAGACTACTGGCTGGAAGTCAGTAGGCATGAGAATTCAATATTGGCACATGGATGAAAGAATGAGGCAAAAGACCAATGGGTTCTCTAGTAAACAATAAAAAACTACCTACCCACGATTTCTGCAGGCCAGCATCACAAGAAATTATTTCAAGAACCAAGTTGTCACTTGCTTGTGCTGGCCCAGTATGTGTGGATATTGCCCTGAGTGTTTGCCGCAGTGGGTAGCCGCCAATACTGGGGCCATTGGGTGCCCGACTTGTCATCATGGTCCATCTGTCTCCACACCCCATGCTTCTACCTCCCAGAGCCCTTGAGGTAAGACCCAAGGAAGGATCCTTGGGCTTGCATTATCCTTGCTGCCAGTGGAGGTCTGACAGGATCCACTGGGTGTTACTAGTAAAAGTGCTTCTGCAAAAGGGGCAGGTTAGAAGAGGGAGGTAACATGAATGTTCCTTAGAAAAACTCAAACCCATCTGCTTATCAACACCCAAAAGGCTGAGGCCACCCAGGGCACAGTTTGGTCCGTGGAATACTGAGTGGAAGAGGCAGCTAGTGTAAGGAGGCACCCTCACTGCCCGACTCCTGGGAGCCATTACCCATCCTTTTCGGCTGGGGGAGTGTCAAAGAGTCCGGCTGCCTTCTTGCACAGCAGAGAAAACCAGTAGATCTGGGGAGCAATGAGGAAGGCATTGGCCACATTGCATAAGAAAGGGATCCTGAATGGCACTTGGAGCAGGTTTAGTTTCATCTGTTGGGCATAGGAGCAGTACATGAAGGGGAAAAGCAGGATCCGACAGCAAAAGAAGGTGGTCAGTGTGAGGATCCCGTTCACCTTGTACAGAAGGGTGTGCTGCTGCTTTAGCTGCAAAAGACAGGAGAATGCAGAGTCACCAAGAGGCTGGGCCTTCAGGAAATGACTAGCCCAAGTCCTACAGCAGTGAAGGCCAAACGTCTAGCTCTCTGACACTTGGAAAATTTGGTTGAGCCCTGCTGTATTTATATCTACGTATAGTTTTGTGAGTTTTCCAACAGCGATGCTGAATTTGACCTAAGCCACCCAACTGACGAGAACAGTGCAACAGAGAATCTATGGCCAGGAAACAAAACAAAAACATGAAGGACTGTATCAAATTTGAATCAAACATACAATTTTGTCCCCACTGGCTTGGAAGACCAATTGACCTTTAAGTCTGTTCAAAGGTCTCCCACCCCTTTGTTCCCAGCACTGAGATTTCTCCAAACCCCACATCACCACAGAAAAGCAGAGTCTGCGCCCCTGCGCTGTTTCTGCCATTTCCTTCATACGTGCCTGGATCAGAATTTTGCCCAGCGACACAAACGGAGTGCTCAGTTCTGCCGTGAAGATGCATCCAACAAAGAAATCCCCCCGGTCTCCCCTAAGCTGCAGAGGAAAAAGGGAAATAAGACATGGAAGTTAAGGAACCACCGTAAGGAAAATTCTAACTGGGGCTGTTGAAAAGGGGGACCGTGAGAGGCCGTGCAGGGGAAGGGAAATAAATGCTAAGTGGGCAGGTGCAAACCCATTCAGTGCTCTGCCACTGCAATGGTACTTTGATGGTTGAATCACTAGGATCCAGAGGCAACTTCTGATTGGCCAATTGCATCACACACCAAGCTTTCTCTGCATTTCAATGTCAGCTGGAAGGAACTCCGCAGCCTACTTTTGGGTATCTAACTTAGTCATGCCAAGGGCACTTCGCCAGGTCAGTTCAACAGAATATGTGCCACATCCTGTGCTAAATGTTAGGGGGACTTAAAGAATGTAACGTGCTTTACCCTCTCCTTTTATCCTTTCAAAAAAGCAGTATATAGCATAGCAGAGTAGCAGCTGTCATTTGGCGCCACTGACTGAGCTATGTAAACTCTTACAGCCCCAGTTTCTTCATCTGTGGTATAGGGCTAAAGTTTCTAATGTTATTTCTAATTATTAGCAGAAAGCTATGAGCTTTTAAATAAAGTGCCTGTCAACTGGTAGGCACTCAAAAATTACTAGTTTCCTTGTCTACATTCCCATCTTCTTCTCCTGGGTGATGTTTTTATGGGAAAAAATGGATCTGGGGAGAAATTTTGAGGCTATTGGCTTTGAGAGTCTGCTTTTGCAACATCAAAATAATGCATACAGTAATCTCTGGCACTCTTAGAGCAAATAATCAGTTGTATGAGCTCTTCTCATTTAAAAAATTCTTATGTTGTATTTTATATTGTTTTTATATTGTATGAACTAAAGACAGAACCTTTGGCAAAGGCTAGGGAATCACAAAGGGCTGGGGGATTGCTGGCAAGGACGATCACGAACATTTCTATGTGATTTGCCCAGGGGATTCAACTTCAGAAGCAAGTGGCGCAATGAGAGTGGGTGCCGTGGACCAGCCACAGCAGGGTCCAGGGATTCCCAAAGGTGGGTAAGGAGCTGGCGATGGGTAACAGATGACAACATGACTCAAAGGACAGTGAAGCTCTGTTCTTCCATTCCCTCAACTGTTGGCAGCACAACCTGTGTTTGCAACAATAACCTGGTTCTTTATTAACTGGCCTTAACTGTTGATTTAAGAGATCTAACTTGTTTTTCTTATTTCTGGTACACCATGGTGGTCCTGATCGCTTGAAGTTGCTCAAACCAGGGTAATTTACACAACTTGACATGTTTTCCCTTATGGTTAACAATTATATTACCCTGGCTGTCGTACTCCCCTGTATAAGGGAGAAAGGAATCTGTGGAGATTTTTCCATCCTTTTAGGCAGTTCCATGGGGAATACTAATGTTTTCCCCTGAACTGTCCTTTCCTCTTGGGTGATTTTCACAGGAATAAGTAAGTACAGTACAATGTCCATACTCAGTAGCAAGAGTAAAATAATTAAAATAAAACAGCCGATTGTTAACCCATTTTGGATGCCATATTCTCTTCCGAGGAGACGAGTTCCTTGAACTCGACTCCTCCATGCCCGGACCTTGTCAGACAACATGGTTGGAAGAGGACATGGCAGGTGGGTGAGACTGGAAAATGAAGGAACAGGGTGCTCATCCGGACTCCTAAGTATTGGTCTTCAGTGGGAGAAATGAGTGACCTAGACAGCTGGTGGCTATATCCCGGGTTGGGGGAGGGCATACCTGTGCAATTGGCACAAGGACCAACAGAATGGCCACATGGTGCGTGATCATGAGGCGGTTTTTACTTAGGTAGCTTCGAAAAATGGTGCAGTAGTCTCTGCGGTTCTGTTCTCTGGTTCGGTACCATTCACACAGGTACATGGCGCAGGTGTCATACACCATGTAAGGACTCAAAAACCAGATATATTCTCGGGCAAGCCAGTGCCTGAAAGAAAGCATATGAGTGGTCCGTAAAATAATGAGAGATGCTGATTATGAAGGCAGGCTCAAAGCCACCCTCTTCTCCGACATATTTCCTTCAGCTTTGTATTAACCAGATGTTTTTACTCCAGACACTTGACAGTGAAGATGCTGAAACTGATGGTGTGAACCACTTTCTCTAAATCACAGGGAAACTCCATGTCAAAGGCAGAAAGCCTCCATGTGTTTAAGTGACTAGCTGTCACTATTTGCCGGACTTAGCTACTCATTTGTAATGGATTTTCTGGCATTTTGTGATGTAAGCTGACGTTGATACTGATATCTCTACCAATGACTCAACAGCCCCACCAAGAAACTGGTCTGGAAGGTGTCCCAAATCCCAATCCAATATTTCCAGTTTAACTCCACTCGTTGCTCAACAGTTGGGAGTTTCCTCTTGTGTCTGCTTGTAACCCTACTGTAGGGAGTTTCTGGCAAGCAACCCTGGCCATTTTCTTTACAATTCTATGGCTAATCCTGATTCCACTCATTAAGAAAAATATGTCTGGAAGTGAGCCCGGAGTTTAAGGACTACCTAACAGAAGTCAGATGCCAAAACAGAACCTGGGACGAAAGACAAGTGTTGCCATTTACTTCACTGAAGGGGTTGAATCAGTATCTGCTGAGTCAAAATGATAGTTTATCACTGTCCTATGGCAGATTAGAAGGGAGGTCTAGAATCTGTACAATTTTGTTCCCAAATAATACATCATAATTCTACAGAACACTGATGTAGGAAAAAATCTAAACTGAAATCATGTCCTATGCTTGGAAGAATTCGACTCACTAAATCAGCAAATTCTTATTGAGCACTGTGTGTTAGGTAGAAGAAACAATCAGTTTTATGGTTTTTAAACTACCTGACCATCAAAATCACCTGCACTGCTTGTTAAGGCTCCAACCCCCAGACTTTAAAAAAAAAAAAATTCTAGAGAGAGAGTAAGGGGGATGGATAGCGAGGGAGGGAAAAAAGAAGGCTGATTTGTTGTTCCACTTATTTATGCATGCACTGGTTGCTTCTTGCACGTGCCCCGATGGGAGACTGAACCCACAGCTTTGGCATATCCAGATGATGCTGTAACCAACTGAGCAACCTGTCCAGGGCCCAGAGACTTCATGGTATACATACAGCCCTCAAATCTGTCTCTGTAACTTTGTCTCAGGTGATTTCCTAAGGAGCCAGTTCACGAAATGCAGCATCGGGAATACACCAGATAGTGCCTGTTCAAGTTTCCTTCCTGAGTGATTCCACACTTATGACAGCATAACTCAATAATGAGTAACAATGACACAGGCAAACAACTAAGGATAGAAAATATAATACACGATTAATTAGCCAAATTCCATTTAGTCAAAAAGATGTAGTATTCTACTGCCCACCTGTGGTCTCCATTGCTTTCTTAAAGCAATTCCAAGTTTAATAAGTATAAAGAGCTATTAAAAGCCAAGCTGAAAAAATCTGGCCTCTTCCCTTGAGTGGAGCCTAGGGTTTTAAGATTTTGCACACAGTACCAATTCAGTGAGATCTGAAACTGTGGCTGCTTGGTAGAATTCTCCCAAGAATTATCAGCAAGAGATTTATTGTAATCTTAACTACCCCTAGCCTGAAACTTAGCTTTCTTTATAAAATGAAGATAATCCTTGTCTTCCCTGACAAAGTTTTTGTAAAGATTAAAAAACAGAAAGTCCTTGTAAAGGTGAAAATTACTATCCAAATAGAAGTGCTTAAATTGAGAAAATGGCCTAGAGCTGTGACTCTTAGCCCCTTTAGGGATCTAGATCTCTTTAAGAATCTGATGAAATTCTTGGCCACATACCACATTCTGCATATAAATTGAGGGATATAGAGATACCCCCAATCTGTAGACACTTTACATAAAGGCAGAAAATAAAAAGGTATATAATAGAAAAATACTTGGGTGTATAGGATATGACACCCAAGGGCCTTTAAAAAAAAAAAGAAGAAGACATAGTTAACGCTAGAGCATCCTTGTGTATCTACGTGAAGGAAAAGGGCACAGAAATGTGTCTGTCTCTATTTTATGAGCAGAGAATCTAAGGCATAAAGATACACGAAAGGAGGATCAGGAAAACCAAACCCAGGCTTTTTGCCATGCTCAAGCCACTAAAATACACTACTTCTCGGGGGCAAACAACAGCGGTGCTGCTGAAAGTCACGTGTGCGTTAACATCTTGTTACGAACTGTGTAGTGGTTGCCTGCCGCCTGCCCTCCTGCAGCTCAAGATAGTGCTGGGCCACATCTGTCTTTATCTTTGTGAAAGGCTGGTTTGAAGTTTGATCTGACAGACTAGGCGGGGGCAGTGAGGGAGTTGCCGCAAGGTCACAAATGCTCAATTAAAGTAAAAACTGAATCCGGCCAAGCAAAGGCTGTTAGCCTTTGTTACATGCAGTCAAAGTCAACCAACAGGCTTCTCTCAGCATCTACAATTCATCACCAAGAAAAGAAACAAACAAACAAACAAACAAACAACCACGATGGCAGCCTTAATCCCAAGTAAGATCCAGGCACTAAATTTGCAGGCCAGTAACACAGGTACCCCCTTGGGGCTCCCCTCCCATTGCAGAGTCAACAGGAGGGAAGGGTCAGGATCGGACTTCCCGGTATGCACTCTCTCTTCAACATAACAGACGTGAGAGTGGTTCCAGAAAGACAGGTGGCACAACAATGGCTTCAAACACAAACCACCACTGCCCAGATGGAAAAACTATACAAAGTAGGCCACTGCTGTCTTTATGATTTGTTTCACCAGGTGCATACTTCCTGGCCTGCTTCTGGACTGAGCTCTAACACATACACAGGGCAGTTTTCTCAAAGCTCCAGAACGCTCTTTACCGCCTTTAGCAAATCCCAGGTAAGACGAGCAGCATTCCTAAGGCTCCGCCAACACACTGCACTTCTAGCCAATGAGTGTTCCAGGCAGGGCCCCGGAGACATCATTTAAAAGAACCAGAAACCACACTCTCTGAACGTATCAGCTTCTGAACGTATCTATTTTATAGAGAAGATGGGTTAATGGGCCACACTGTCCTCTCACGTGCCACCTTAAATCAGGTTTAAACTGACACTTTTCAGCATTTCTTCACTTTACTCTCTCCTAAGGTGGCCATGCTAAGAGAGGTAAGGGGAGGAGGCGGGAACTAATCATGGTGCACACGTTTTTCCATTAATCAACTTTCCAACAGCATGTACTGATAAAGAACTAGTGTCTGAGAGCCACTAAAACGTGCAAACTTAGAAAAAGTTCGGTGCTGATATTTGTACTTCTTTCACCTGGCATTGGATGTTACCTGTCGTTGACCACGTCTTTACAGTAGTAGACGATGATGATCCCAGACCCGGTGGCCAACACAGCCTGCGCTGAAGAAACCAGCCTAATGTGCGGCAGAAAAGAGAAAAAGAGGGGTGGGGGAGCGCGCTCAATCCAGTCCCGTGGACAGCATGAAGCCAAAATTCCTAGACCTGACCTTCCCCTAGGCTGCCAGAGCCGGGAAGAAAATGGTAGGGCCGCCGCGTTCTCGACCCCCAGGGCAGCTGGCAGCTGTGTACAGGGCTTTCCTCCCCATCCTGACCAGAGTGGGCAGCCCTCCGCCCTCTCCCCTCTCCCTCCAGGACCGGACGCACAGGGTGTTCCCAGAGCCCTCGCCCGCCCCGCACTGCCGAGAGGGGCAAGGAACTAGGAGGCAGGCCCCTCGCTTCCTGTTGCTCCCCCTTTCGCACTCACTAGGCACAGGGCCGGGCGCAGGCGGGTCCGGGCAGCCCGCGCCGCCGGGTGGGGCGGGCGGCGCCGGCCTCGCCGCGTACCTGGTGCTGATCATCAAGCAGTCGTACACAGTCCATTCAGGCCGCGCGCGGCGCAGTGCCCAGGTGCAGAGCGCGAAGAGCCCCAGGAAGAACAGTGAGCTCCAGGCCAACGTATGCAGCATGGGTGCTCAGGGCTCAGCGCCTCTTTCGGCGCCCTCGGCGTGGCTCGGGTCGGCTCCACTGGGCTCCAAGGCTGCCGCGGCCCGCCCGCCCCTATTTCTACCCGCCACCCTCCACCCCGCCCCGGCCCGCGCGACTCCGGCAGCCGCGGAGCGCTGGCCGCGATCCCGCACCGCCACTCCGCGTGACCAGGAGGGCGGCCGCGATAGGCGCGGGCTGGCGGCCCGGGGCGGGGTCTCGCCGCCACCGCCCCTGGGCCCAGAGGCGTCCCCGGGTTCCCTAGGCCGGCCTGCAAGTGGACTGCAGGGGGTAGCTGCTGCCCGGGTGGGGGCCTGCGGCACACACAGCCCACTGGGGCCCCGGTGCGCCGACGCTGTGCCCCGGACAAGCTGCGCGCCAGTGACCAAGACAGTGATGGTGGGAAGGGCCGAGGTTCTCGGGGCTTCTCTTCCGTCACCGTGGACGCTTCCCCCTCCCTCCGGGACCAGACAGACAGACCAAGTGCCCACACTTGCCACAGCCCTCCTCTCCTTCCCAGCCCCGGGCGAAGGGGACGGAATGGGAAGGGGAGGGCCCCAAGAAAGCCAGGTAGGAAAACACAATCCGTGGAGAACACCTACCATCAGGGTGGGACGAACCCTCCAAGCGGGGGCATTGGCCCTGCCAACAGGGCGATGGGCAGGCCTCGTTGGGGGAAGAAGGAAGGGGTGGGTGAGCTTGTGGCTATCTGCTTATCTGTGGCCTGACTTATCAACTACCAAGCACTCTAGCTTCCAAATAGGAGTCTGAAGGAAACGGTCTTCCTGCAGGCCAAAGATGGCTTTTCCACATCCTTCTAACTGCTGCAATTTCTCCAGGAGGGACTGCTCCTAAAAGCATTAAATCCTGCCACAGAATGCATGCGTTCCTCTCAGGGTGCAGGTCAGGGTGGAACATCATGTCTGCAGACTTTCTGTGGCAGTCCTGTGCTACCTTTGGCTTTGGGTTAAAGTACTGCGCAGTCTTCGGTGACTGTTTTGTTGTTGACAGTGGCTCTTAGTAAAACCTCCAGGCCAGGTACCCTAAATTTGAGTGGACTGGAATTGATTCACTTTCACTCAGCACCAGTTACACCAGCCGATACAGTAACTTCAGTATTACCTGCTTCTCTCCCTCTTGGGACCAAAGCTTTGCTTTGCTTTGGTCTGTATCTTCCTCAACTAATGTGGGGAGCAATACAATTCATTTATGTCTACTGCAGTTGAAAAGTACTATGAGTCTCTTTGCATCACCCTCGTGCAAAAGGCTGACAGAAGCCCCATAAGAGGACTCTGTCTGGAACAACCCTACTCAGCCTCTCCGAACCACTGTTTCCTCACTTTGAAACCAAGAGGCTGGATTACAAGCTCTTTAAGGCCCTTCAGCTCTAAATTCATAAGGCTGTATGACTTTTATAAAGTAACAGATGATTCTATAATGCCAATTAAATTTCTCTGACATGGCACTTACGGGTATAGAAAGAGATACAGAGAAAATACAGTTTTTAACATCTTCCTGTATGTTGTTTAGATGAGGGGTTTAACAAGTATTTAGAAAGCAGAAAACCAACAAAAAGTGTGAAATTTCTTCCACTTAGGGCAACCTTTCTAACTCCCAAATTCCCCACCAACATTCTTGGTGAAATGAGAAAGACACTTACGTTTAGTAGCAAGACACTTAAGTCTGGTAGCAAGGCACAGAAAGTGACAAAAAGCTTTCTGTAGTTTCACACTTCCATGTGGACAAAGGACAGCTATCTGTAAATTTCCCTTTCCCTCTAGAAGAATGAATCTTTGTGCACTCCACTTTTCATTCCTCACGCGTGTATCCCAGTCACTCTAGCTCTCCCAGAGACAAGTGGCTGGTTACAAGTCGGCCCTGCCTTTTCTCCTCCATGAGATCAACAACATGCACCAAGGATGCTAACACTTTTAAGTGACGGAAACCAATCTATACCCTGTGCAAGAAGTTGTTTGTACAGCTCTTAAGAAGTCTATGAAATGAAAACAAAACAGATGGTTCACGTATAGAAGATAGCTAGTAAAACGTGTTTCCAACATGAGGCTTTGAAGTCACCAGAATGTTTAGGTTGAATCACCAGAAAGCCAACAAGCATAAACATGAGTCTTTTCAAGGGATCAACCCCCTGTGGGCAAATGATAAAGCCAAATAAAAAGCACTGTCTTTTCGCTACAAACTTCTTAGCTTTCAAACGTCTTTTTGAAAATTTTTTAAAGAAACTTTAAAAAAATTTTATTTATTTAGCCCTGGCTGGTGTGGCTCAGTGGATTGAGCACCAGCCTGTGAAACAAAGGGTTGAGGGTTGGATTCCCAGTCAGGGCACATGCCTGGGTTGCAAATCAGGCCCCCCAGTGGGGGGCGCACGAGAGGCAACCACACATTGATGTTTCTCTCCCTCTCTTCCTCCCTTCCCCTCTCTCTAAAAATAAATCAATAAAATCTTAAAAAACAATAAAATAAAAATAAAATTTATTTATTTTTAGAAAGAGGAGAAGGGAGGTAGAAAGAAAGGAAGAGGAACATCGATGTGTGGTTGCTTCTCAAGTAGCCTCTACTGGGGACCTGGTCCGCAGCAGCCCAGGCATGTGCCTTGACTGGGAATTGAACCAGTGACCCTTGGGTTCACAGGCCCGTGCTTAATCCACTGAGCCACACCAGCCAGGGCTCTTTTTAAATTTTTATTCTGAGAGTACATTTACTAAAGCTGGGGCCAGGGAAACAAGGAAGGCTTTAGGATGGAAGCAGCAGCAGTTGAGACCAGGTGGGGCTGCTTCGGCTCTCTAGAGATGGACCAGGGAAGGAGTGAGCCAGGGCAGGCCTGATGTCAGCTCCCTGGGAAGTAAGTCAGAGAAAAGGGGGCCTTGGAGACAGGTTCAGGGGGTTAGCCCGGGATGAGCTACCTCTGCCCACTGCTCCCCTCGTTACAAGTCTTGTGGCGACCCACAGAGTTTAGGAGAATGAAAATTCACTCCAAACGACCTGAGTGGGCGTGCCCCAGGGAGAGCATGCCACCCTTCAAAAGTCTTGGGTCAAATCCTTTGTCCTCCAAGAAGGTTTCTATTTACTTGTCTCTCCAGGCAGATTTAGAAGTTCATTTTTAAAACAGATTTTATTTATTTATTTTTAGAGAGAGGAGAAAGAGAGGGAGAGAAATGTCGATGTGAGAGAGAAACATCCATCGATCGACTCTCACATGCACCCCGACTCGGGGCCGGACCTGCAACCCAGGCGTGTGCCCCGACTAGGAAACAACAGGCAACCCTTCACTTCCGGGGACAAAGCCCCACCAACCGAGCCACACTGGTCAGGGCTATAAAAGTTTATTTTCTAACCTGCTTTTTGCACTTGAGTCGTGAGCTTTATTTACTTATTTAATTTAAAAAATTTCTTCATAGGTAGGGGAACCTATGTTCCCCCACCAAACTGCTGGCTCTTTGAAACAGGACCATGTCTTTTCATTTTTGTCTCCGGAGTTAGGCCTGGCACATTGCAAGTGCTCAAGAAATATTTGATGCTTTTTTTCCTTTTAAATCCTCATCCAAGGATATGTTTGTTGATTTCAGATAGAAGGGAAAAGAGAAAGAGAAAGATCATTTGGTTGCCTCCCGTACACACCCCAACCAGGACCGAATCCACAACCTAGGAATGTGCCCTCACTGGGGATGGAAACTGACCCCGGACTGGACAACCCTCCAAGGAACTGAGCCAACCAAAGCATGCTTGATACTTTTAAAGCTAATGTTTATTGAGTACTTACTATGTGCCAGGCACTATATCAAACACTTTGTGTGTATCATCTTGTTGGATCCTCATGACAAATCTATTATCATCACTGTGTACGACCCAGAGAAATGAGAGTATTGCCCTAAGTCACACTTCCGGTGCTGGAGCTGGGATCTGAATTCAGTACTTCCTGCCTTCAAGGTCAATGTGATTAATTATTATACTGCCTACAAATTTGACAAGTGAGGAAGAATCATTCTGTTTTATAATGTAGTTTCTGATAAATAACCACTGTTCCTAACTGTTTACTCACAAATATAAACATGTGGGGTGGAGTTCATGGGCTCGGACGCTGCTGTTATTAACGCCATTATAATATATATGCGTGTATATATATGTATAATTTTCAAAGCATTTTTACATATATTATTTCACTTGATTCTCAGAATAACTCAGTGAGGTAGGTGAACATATTATTATTTTCATTTTACAGGTGAAGAAACGTAGGTGCAGAATGGTAAACTGACTTGCCGCACTAGAAACTGGCCACGACAGAACCTGGGGCTCCTGATTCATGTTCCATGGTGATTTCAACTACTTCGTGGTGTAAGGTTGGGATTAAGGAGTTTTTAATTACGCTTTTTGTGTGGGTTTCAAAAGTAAAGTTTGGATTACTAGACATTAAGGCTCATTTACCAAATCAGAGTTTCACCTCTCGGACAGGCATTTGTAAAGCGCCCCGTTTGGGAGGGCAGTGGTGGGCTTTCTCAGTGGTTTCTTCTGCCTCTGAGGCATACGACCCTGCCCTTTGGTGGCCGCCCCCGGCCTCTCGCTACTTTCGGCCCCAGTCTGGAAACCACTAGGGACAGGATGCAGGACCTTCCCCACGTGTGCCTCTGGTTTTCCAGCCTTAAATTGAAAGTACCGTATTTACTTTGAAAATACTCAAGTAAATGTCACTGACTTAAGTCATGGGTGGGCTGCTATCCTCAATCGAGGCTATTTTCTTATCCAGACAAATGATTCTGCATTATTTAGGAAAAAAAAAAAGATTAAGGACAAACAATTGAGATTCACAGGCGATACCTCTATATCCAGAACTGGAAGAAAACTTGGGGGTCTCCATCCACTCAACTGAAAAAAATCATGACAGAGAAAATGAAACTGTCTTCTAAAATGTTCATTTCTCCTGCATTCGTGTCTGCCCTGGGGACACAGGAAGCAGAGACAGCAGGAAGGAGGACAAAAGGAGAAATGAAGTGATGGGGAGGGAAATGCAGGGGAAGATACAGCACAGGCAGAAGACCCACAGGAGGGGACGTACCGACACAGTCTGGGGG